TTTCTTTCGCTTTTGCGGCGAGGCAGCAAGATGTGCGCTCTTTCGCCGGGCTGATTTATGATGTTTTTCTACACGATTAAAGACTGTTGGAGATAAGCAAGAAAGCTTGCGTGCAGTCTGATTTATTACACACACATTCCAACAGTTTTCTACCGCTGCGATGACTCTGCTACAGGAAGCTGACGGAGAGCTATCCACGGGAGTCCAGTGGGGCGCAGGGAAGCGTGCCGGACTCCATCCAAAAGCCACAGGTTATGGAGGTCAGCCAAGCGTTTGAAACTGTTGCCAAGTCGTGCAGGTGTGTGTGAAAGCCAGCTGAGGGGAAGCTGAAGCCAGCTGGAGTCCTGCCTAACGTTTGAGGCAGTGAAGCTCACTGGGAGGATTGGATCTCCGAGGACCGGGTGCCGGAGGAGCTGCTGCTGTTACGTGAGTACGCTCAGCCCCGGGGGAGAAGATGGCAGACAGCCATGAATCGTACGCCATCCCGTTCGAAAAATTGAACGGAAAGAATTGGGAGGAGTGGAGTAGGAAGCTGAAGGCATGGCTTGTAGCCAAGGGTCTGTGGGAGGCAGTCCAAGGGCCTCCACAGCAAGCGGCGGCTGGTGCTTCGGCAGCAGATATTGCAACTGCCCATGCTTCACAGAGAAAAAATCACAAAGCCCTGGGAGCTATCGTGCTCAGTTTGGAGGGTTCGCAGCTACCTTTGGTAGAGGGGCTGGAGACTGCTCATGAGGCCTACCAGGCACTAGAAAGAGTGCACCACAGGACCACAGCTGGGGCAAAGATCCACACTACCAGACGCTTGTTTGAGATGAAGCTGCATCCAGGTGATAGCATCAGACAGCATGTAACTGAGATGCTCTCTGTTTTCAACCAGTTGAGGCTGTTGCAAGTTAACTTTTCTGAGGAACTGACAGTTTATATTTTGCTCAGCTCTTTGGACAAAAGTTATGACAATTTGTGTCTAACTTTGGAATCGATGAATCCCGCAGATCTTACTCTGGCATATGTGACAGGACGCTTGAGTGACGAACAGGAACGCCGTGTCAGAGAGGGCCGAGCTGGCACAGGAAGCCCATCTGGTTGCTGGGGGGGGGGGGGCCAGGCCAGCAGAAGGCACAGTTCAGGCTTTTTCCACTCGTCAATGTTTTGTCTGTGGTTCAGTTAACCATCTGCGTAGATCCTGTCCGCAGAGAGCCAGAGAGGCCGGGCAGGATGTCTCCAAGGTCGTTTCCCATGGCAGCCAGTCCAGGAGAGGAGACCAGCGTGGGAAAGCGAAGGGAGGACGTGACTCAGGGAGTGAAGACGGTCCTTATCACCTAATTGCCTCCATGGCAACACTTAAGGACAACTCCAGAGAGGACAGAATGATGCGCTGGGTCATTGACTCTGGAGCCAGCCATCACCTGATAACAGCGACACCTGGTGTCGAAATGTGGAACTGCAGAGCTGTTTCAGCTGGGAAAACAGTTGTATTTGCTGATGGGTCACAGAGGCCTTTGTCTAACGTGGCAAATGTTTTTGTTTCTTTCTTGCAGGCAGAGCTGGAGGTCTACGTTGTGCCTGAGATGAAACACTGTCTTTTATCTGTATCTTGTCTCTTACAGGAGGGGTACAAGGTTTGCTTTGAAAATGATGTCTGTTCTATTTCCAGGGGTGGGAGACAACTCGTCAGTGTTGCATGTCAGAACAATCTCTTTGTTCTGGAGACACCTCTGGAGGATGCGGGGGACGCTGAGGGAGCACAGGCGAAGTGTGCAAACATTCCCACTCATGATTCATGTGCTCACTTGTGGCACAAAAGAATGTCACATGGCTCTTGGGAAGATATCCAAAAGTTGCCCCAGTACACAGCAGGGTGCAGGATAAAAACATGTGACCGATCCCTAGATTGTAGGGCATGCAGAAAGGCAAAGGTAAAAGGGTGCAGTTATCCCAGAAAGGAGAGGGTAACCACAAAACCTTTTGAGCTTGTGCACACAGACCTTTTTGGGCCCATGCCAAAGCCGAGTTTGGGCGGGGCCAGGTTTGTGCTGACTGATGATTTTAGCCAAAATGGCTGGTGCTTCTCGCTGAGAACGAAAGGCGAGGCAGCGCAACTGATCAAAGATTGGGTTGTGGCAGTGGAACTACGGTTCTCCACCAAAGTGCAGGGGTTCAAGAGTGACCGAGGTGCAGAGTTTACTGGGTCCGCTCTGCAGAGTTTCTTCCGTCAGAAGGCGATACGTCACAAGGTGACGGGTGCTACTTCTCCTCAGGAGAGGGGCGTGGCGGAGCTCAGGAGTAAAGCTCTGGCTCAAGCAACAGAGATTCTACTGTGTGACTCCAGTTTGCCTCAGAGTTTTTGGAGCGAGGCTTGGAGGGCAGCCAATTTCACGATGAACAGGTCCTACAATTCAGTGGTAGGTAACACCCCGTATTTCTTGCTCCACGGAATGAAGCCGAAGCTGCATTTCTTCCGTGTGTTTGGTTCACAGGCCTGGGTGCCTGTGCCAAAGGCTCAACAAAAGAAAGGTGACCCGAGGTTCCAGAAAATGATCTTCTGTGGATATGAACCTGCGACAAAGGGGTGGAGGTTTGCATATCCAGAAGGTGATCAGACCAAGCTTCTGATCAGTAAACATGCTGAGTTCTGTGAGCAGAATGGTTGGTCAAGGATCCATGTGAGTCCTGACGTTCTCTCAGAATGTTTGTCTGATTCTGAGGAGGAGAGAGAGCCAGAGGCTGAACCTGTTACTGAGGACCAAGTCTCTGAACAGGGTCAAGAACAGGTTTGGGCATCTCCACAGGTTGTTAAAAGAGAGCCCAAGAGTGAGCCTTCGTCTCCTGTTAGCAAAGTGCAGAAGGCTCGAAGACGTAGTAAGTCAGAGGGGGAGTCTTCTGATGTAGAGGACACACTTGCTGGCCCCAGTGGGTCAGAAGGAGCACCTGGGATTGTGCTCAGACGGTCCACTCGCACCACAAAGGGAGTTCCACCTGAGAGGTTTCAGGACACCAGTGCGTGGGTTGGTTTCGCACAGTGCGAACCTGGGAGTTTTGAGGAGGTTCAACGGTTGCCTGAGACAAATGCCAGAAAGGGGCGAGAGGCAATGCAAAGGGAGTTGAACTTAAAGAGGTCTGTAGATGTGTGTTCACAGTTTCCCTCAGGATGCGAGATGAGAGGGGGTGTGAAGAGAATCAGAACTTACAGGGTTAAACAGTTCTGAGTGACGTCTCACATTCTGAGGCGTGGCTATGTTCACAGAGGGGAGTGTTTCTCTGTGTGTTTTTTTTCTTTCGCTTTTGCGGCGAGGCAGCAAGATGTGCGCTCTTTCGCCGGGCTGATTTATGATGTTTTTCTACACGATTAAAGACTGTTGGAGATAAGCAAGAAAGCTTGCGTGCAGTCTGATTTATTACACACACATTCCAACAGTTTTCTACCGCTGCGATGACTCTGCTACAGGAAGCTGACGGAGAGCTATCCACGGGAGTCCAGTGGGGCGCAGGGAAGCGTGCCGGACTCCATCCAAAAGCCACATTATTGCCTAGGACCGCGAGGGCAGAGCAGAGACGTCAGTTTTATCCTTTTTTTCAAGCTATCCAAATTGCTGGCTCTCACTGTCTCCTGTAGGATGGATTCCATAGATGAACTACGCTTCTGTTGATTCATCTTTTGCAGCCCTTAAAGACTGATAGATGTATTATGGCCTAAGCTTTTGTGGGCTGCAGTCTGACAAAGTGGACTCTTGACCAGGAAAGCTGGTGCCACTATAAACCTCTGAGTCTCTTTGTTGGCCTTGTGTACTTATTTTGAAATTTGCACCAAGGTTGTACCACAGTGTCTCCATGGAAGCTTAGGGACGGACAAAATTACAGGGTGTCAGCTCCGTGAATCTCAAGCCTCTCGTGCCTCCACTGACAGAGCCTGAGAACGCAAGAGATGGGATTCGGTTGGAATGTGAAGCAGGGGAGGAGCAGCCAAGCTGCAGCAGGAGCAAAGAACAAGGAGCAGGAAGAGGGGGTGAGGGGGGGCACAGACTGTTATCTCCAGTTTGAGCTCTGACACAGAGCCCCTGAAATAGCCTGTCCAAAAAATCGTAGGCTCGAGAGAATCTGCGAGAAGAGGGGAAAAGAAAGCGAAAGTGGGGCCTTCTTTGCTGGAGGGCTCGGCAACTGCAAGCTGGGATGAACAGGCCAAAGACTGAGCTCCACAGTGATTTATGAGTTTGAGATAATTACTACTGGAGTTGTCTCATGTCTGTGCGGGAGAACCAAGCCTTTACACAGGGGCGCTAAAATTATTATCCCACTCACTCTCACAAACAACCCCATTCTGTAAGATTGGCAATTTTGCACAATTTGCTTATAATACCAGACGCTCTTGGACTTTATATGCCCAATCCTAAGTGCAGAGCCTCCAGCCACAGGAATCGTGTATCATGATAACGGTACCTTTGTCCCTTAACCCCACCAAACTGGGGAGGTGCATGCATTTATTGTGTTTTGATGCTGGTGGAATGTATGATTCTGACCCTGTCTATAAAAAATAAGAATAATAGAAACAATTTATGTACATTAATTAGAAATAATTAAGGGAAACATTTCCATCCCACTTCACCCATTTTTCAGGATTGGTGTGCAACATCATTACCATCAATTATTCCTGCCGTGGAAATAACACCTAAGATTTCAAAGCCTGGAGGAAGAAAATCTGCCCCCACTACTTTATGAAAAGGATTCAAGAAACAAAGAGCTGCTTCTGAGAAGGCCTCACCCCTTCCTTCTTCCTGTCAGGAACTTCCTTCCATTTGTCTCCTCTTCATCTTTTCCTCTTTCTCCCTCCACCATCCATGTATCCCTGTCCCCATCTCCTCTCCCCTGGAACTCACCAGATTTCTCTAAGGGTCCTGGGAGGGAATGCTCAGAGGTTGTGGGGAGGGATGCGGGAGAGAGCCTGACCAGGTCACCCGTCCATCTTCCTCCTTCCATCCTGGCCAGGGTTGCAGGTTCAGTCTCAGCTAGGTTTGCAGGTTCAGCTTCCTGAGGAGTGCAGAATCCAGAGCAAGTTGCAGCTTCCTGGGAGGGAGGGAAGAAGAAGCCAAGGGAGTCTGAGAGCCCCTGCAGGGATTCTCCTGCCCAAGACATTCTGCTGTCCCTGGAGAAGCCCCAATTGGGCACCCCTTCCCAAGAGCCCCCACCCATTTTCAAACACCTTTGGCAATTCTTTTCACCTGCCTGTCCCACCTCCCTACCTAAGGCTGGCATGCTATGCACATTAGTGACCTGAGAGTAGATCCCTTGGAACTTAAGAGTTAACTTGCAAAGGATTGCTCTGAATACATGGGTGGCCCTTGCATGGAGAAGGAAGAATATTCACCACCATAGCTAAACAGAACCTCCATGTCTAGAGGCAGTGGACCTGTGACCTCCAGGTGCTGGAAACCCAGGTGAGAGGAGGGCACTTACCTTTCCAAGAAGCCCTCAGTGTCTGGGAGCAGGGTCTGGTCTGTCCCCCCTGCTCTCCCACTGGGCCTCCGACTGGCATCCGCAGCTCCCCTGAAGGAGAGGACACCATCCCCGGAGTGGGGAAAATTGGGAGCCTGTGGGGTTTCCCACCCTGAACGAGGGGGCTGCATCGTCTTCAGGAAATCCTGCTTCTGGGCCTCCCAGTGCTGCTGCGGCTGCCCCTCCTCTGCCTCCTGCTTAATTTGACATAAATCTGCCCGAGGCAGAAGATCCCTGATGGTCCCGACTTGGCCGGCAGGAGGTTTCTTTCCTTTGTACTCCAGTCTCTCCCTTTGAATGGGTCTCCTGGGTCTCTGCTCTTCCATTTTTACGCCACCCTCCTGGAAAAGAAATAAACACAAAGTAAAATGAAACCCAAGAATAAAAACAAAAGCACATTTTTTAACCACTGGCCAGTTTTTGAAATATATTATTACTCTTTCTATTTCTGATGTTCAGGCTGTGAATAACAATCATTATGTCACCCAAATGACTCCACCCAGGGACGAGGTGAAGTTATCCAAAGACTGGGGGAAACATCAAGGTTTATGGAAGTACAAATAATATTGGGGGGGGGGGCGGGAACCAAGTCAGTGGAAGGAAATTTAAAAGCAACCCAGTGAGAGGACTGAGCATGTTCAGTGGACAGGGAATGCTGATCCTGGCTGCAACTTCTAGCATGTTGGAAAAGAAACAACAGATCTTTGTATATGATTAAGGCTGCAACAGACCCACCTAACATTTAAAGTACATGGCTTCACCCAAGAAATCCTGCCAGCTGCAGTTTGTTAGGCTGTAGCAATAAACTACAAGTCCCGTGGTTCTCTGGGGGAAGCCACGTGCTTTAAATGTATTGTATCCGCACAGCCTAAGAAACAAACTGACAAAATGAATATTTACCAAAAAATCAAACAACCCACTCCAAAATATTTTATATTTGATGGTCACAAACTCTCTTGACTGAAGACATTCTAACTTGCAGTCCATTGGCTGCATATGGTTTGCCAAGCCTCAGGGTGTGTCCTGCTAGTCCCTGCCGTTTCCATCTCCTGATCTGATCATAGGATGAAGATCTCTGTCTGTCCTGGAGAGAAAGATGCCTAAGGGGCCCTTACAGAGATCTTTTAAACTCCAATTTCACCACAAACCAGCACAGTGCTGAAATGGGGTAAAAGCCCTGCTCTGGAAATAAATGATCCCTCTGGCTGCTCTTTAAAGAGGATTTCTAAAGAACGATCAGAAGGGTCTTTTTTCCACAGATCTCATTGCTAATTCAGCAGGGTCTTCTTGTGCTCTTATTTCTCCTCCACCCCAGCACTGGGGTTGGAAGGTCTAAACATGCTGATTGTGTTTGCAAGACTTGCATGTATGCTAGATGGCATGTCTGGTGAGTGTGGGCAGCACCTCTGGCGTGTGTGGATGTGACTTTATAGTCTGCATCTCTTTTATGGGTGCGCATGCATGTGCATACATTGGCCACAAAGCTCACTGGAATGTGGCCTCCAGAATCAATGCATCTTTAAGCCCATAAATGTTCCTCCTGCTCTATCATAAAGAACAATCAAATCTGAGACTACCAGGAGGAGAGAACTCCTGGATCTACAGAGTTAATGTTCTCAACATCCTATGGACACAAACTGCAATGAGATTTCCCTTTAATTGCTTTGAGATTTTTCCCCTTAAAAATATGAAGCAGTATATAAATGAAATGAGTAATAATCTGAACATGAATAGCTAATTTCAATTTTGCCTTCCTCAGTCTTTTACAATACTGTCTTCAACGTATTTATTATCATTAATTCATTTCCATATGCCACACTTCTTAAGAATCCTCCTTTCCTCTGCATTCTCAAAACTGTAACCCACTTCAACCCTCAGCCTTCATCTCAAAACTCTGCTGCCTTACTAAGTTGGAAATAAAACCTTTAATGAAACAGGCTTAAGCCTGTGTCACTTATTTACACGCAGACACAAGAGGTCACTAACTTTGATAGCCTGGGAAAAGATCCATTTTTATGCCACCCTGCTGGAAAAGAAGTAAACACAAAGTAAAATAAAACCCAAGAATAAAAACAAAAGCACATTTTTTAACCATTTGCCAGTTTTTGAAATATATTATTACTCTTTCTATTTCTAATGTTCAGGATGTGAATGACAATCTTTATGTCACCCAAAGAACTCCACCCAAGGACGAGGGGAAGTTATCCAAAGACTGGGGGAAACGGTTTATGGAAGTACAAATAATATTTTTTTGGGGGGGGGGGGGCCAAGGCAGTGGGAGGGAAATCCAAAAACAACCCAGTGAGAGGACTGAGCATGTTCCGTGGACAGGGAATGCTGATCCTGGCTGCAACTTCTAGCACGTTGGAAAGGCAGCAACAGATCTTTGTATATGATTAAGGCTGCGACAGACCCACCTAACATTGAAAGTACATGGCTTCACCCAAGAAATCCTGCCAGCTGCAGTTTGTTAGGGGTGTTGAGAACTGTCCTGACTGAAGACACTCTAACTTGCAGTCCATTGGCTGCATATGGCTTGCCAAGCCTCAGGGTGTGTCCTGCTAATCCCTGCCGTTTCCATCTCCTGATCTGATCATAGGATGAAGATCTCTGTCTGTCCTGGAGTGAAAGATGCCTAAGGGGCCCTTGGAGAGATTTTTTAAACTCCAATTTCACCACAAAGCAGCACAGTGCTGAAATGGGGTAAAAGCCCTGCTCTGGAAATAAATGATCCCTCTGGCTGCTCTTTAAAAAGGATTTCTAAAGAACAATCTGAAGGGTCTTTTCCCCACAGATCTCCTTGCTAATTCAGCAGGGTCTTCTTGTGCTCTTATTTCTCCTCCTCCCAGCACTGGGGTTGGAAGGTCTAAACATGCTGATTGTGTTTGCAAGGCTTGTATGTATGCTAGATGGCATGTCTGGTGAGTGTGTGCAGCACCTCTGGCGTGTATGCATGTGACTTTATGGTCTGCATCTCTTTTCTGTGTGCGCATGCATGTGCATACATTGGCCACAAAGCTCACTGGAATGTGGCCTCCAGAATCAATGCAGCTTTAAGCCCATAAATGTTTCGTTCCTCCTGCTCTATAGGAAAGAACAATCAAATCTGAGACTATCAGGAGGAAAGAACTGGATCTACAGAGTTAATGTTCTCAACATCCTATGGACACAAACTGCAATGAGATTTTCCATTAATTGCTTTGAGATTTTTTCCCTTAAAAATATGAAGCAGCATAGAAATGAAATGAGTAATAATCTGAACATGAATAATCTGAACATAGAATCCTCCTTTCCTCTGCCTTCTCAAATCTGGCACTCACTTCAACACTCAGCCTTCATTTGCCTTACTGAGGAAGGTGGAAATAAAACAATTAATGAAACCAGGCTTAAGCCTGTCTCACTTATTTACACGCAGACACAAGAGGTCACTAACTTTGACAGCTTGGGACAAGATCAGATGCATTCTCTGGAGTATAGATCTATTAGCTGTTTTAATTGCCGTGCCAGATCAACAGAACCTCCATGTGTAGGCACAGTGTACCTCGATTTGGGCAGGCAAAAGAAGCCATTTCCTTGCTAAATGAATCTATTAGCTGTTTTAATTGCCGTGCCAGATCAACAGAACCTCCATGTGTAGGCACAGTGTACCTCGATTTGGGCAGGCAAAAGAAGCCATTTCCTTGCTAAATGAATCGGATGGACATCATTGCCACAAGATGCGGTGATGGTGGCGGCGGCTAAGAGTGCTTTAGAAGGCGACCAATTCATGAAGGAGGGTGATAGGTTCATCAATGGCACTGGCAGAGGAAGGGGGGCAGGAGTAGTGGCCTGCAAAGGGTGTCAGGGGGCTGGAGAGTGAGAAGGACACCTCCCTGTTGCACTGCTCTTCCATTTCCCCCCTGCCTCCCCTTCCCTCTCCCCCGTGGGGAGGACCGTGGAAGAGGACGGGGCTCCCTGCTGAGGGACAGGGAGAGGGGCGGCAAAAGCCCCAGGTACGCCGCTGATCCGTGAGCAACTATATGCATCGTCCATCGGGAAGCAGCAGCTGCCTTCGACCCCTCATTCTGCCCCTTGAGCTCAGGACTGAAGGGAGCAGCTCCCCAGGGTCTCCGGCAGGGTCCGTGCCAGCCTGAGCCAGAGATGTTTGCCCCTGTGCCCTCCTGCAGATGCCCTGCCCCTCAGCTGCGCCCCTTCCCCTTCCTGCCCGATTGGGGGTTCCCTGCAGCCTCTGGCTGGACTCGGGGCCTGATCCTGCCAGGCCCACGTGCTCTCCTCCTCCCCCCCCCCGCCTCCTGCACCTCGGACTCCTCGCTCCGTCCCTGCATCGGAATCCGGCTCCTCTCCGGGGAAACTCGCCAGGCCACGGGCCGCTGCTCCTCCGCTCTCCTCGGCGGGGGACAGGAAAGTGCAGCCGCTCTAGAGTCTCCCTGGCTGGCCCCGTTTCCTGCCTCTCTGAGCATCGGAGCTCGCTGGCTGTGGGTTGGGCCCTGGGAGGCTGCGAGGCTGGATGCGCCCCCTTGCGCTGTCCCTCAAAATTTATTGTATCATTGGAATCTACCTGGCATCTTATAAGATATCCAGAATGTTGCACAAATAAGTCTCCTTGTGATCCGATGTGCAGTCACTGGTTTCCTCATCAGTAAATCTTTTCAGAAAGCTGGGACGATCCCACCCTGCAGCCATAGCTGTCAATTTTCAGGTTTGAAAATAAGGGATCAGCAGCGGACTCGAAAATAAGGGATCAGCAGCCTCGCCTGTCCCAGGGACAGTCTACAGGATATCTAACAATCCGGGATAGCAGCGGGAAATGGCTCTGGAATAAGGGAATTTCCGGCAAAAAAGGGGGGGAAGGTTGACAGCTATGCCTGCAGCTCGAATGCGTAGCTGGAGGAGGCAGTCCAGTTCCCAGCTCTGCTGGTTGGGATCATGCAATCACTTAGCTCCAGCAACCGACCTTTCCAAACCCTCCAACATTTCTCTGATGAAAATAGGGACATCCCATCCCATAAATATAATTTTCCTATTTATACACCACACATCTTATTACGCTGTCCCAGCCACTCTGGGAAGTTTCCAACATATATAAAAAACATAATAAAACATTAAACATTAAAAAACGTTCCTATAGAGGATTGCCTTCAGAGAGCCGGGGGTTGGATAACTCCGTTCCCTCCAACATTTCTTCAATGAAAATAGGGACACCCTAAGGAAAAGCGTGACATTCTGGGATCAAATCAGAAACCAGGACGGCTTCTCTAATTCTAAACAGTGGCACTTGGAGGGTTTCTATTTCCCTGCTTTTTCATTCGCTGCCTCTGGTCTCCTGCATCCATTTAGCAGAGGAGGGGAGCGGTTTTGGCCTTATACTTCTCCACCCCCACCCCCCACCCCAATATAACCAAAAACACCAGGAGACACACACACACCATTTTGGAGTGAGGACCAAAAAAATAAAATCGTTTTATTATTTTATTACTTATTTTTGCAGTTCAATCTACTGTATCTATAAATTTTATAGTTTATAGCCAATGGCCACCACAATACAATATGAGTACAAATCACACAGCTGCAAAACAAAAGACATTGCATGCACCAGATCAGGATAAATCTATAGTGTCCAAAATTTATTCTCACATTTGTTTCAATGTGAAGGATATAGGGCAGCAGAGCCAAGGTAGTGAGGTCCAGATTAGAGTTCCTATCATCCTTGACTGTCTGCCCTGCTGGCTGAAGCTGATGGGAACTGGACAACAACATCTGGGGACACCTCAATGGTTATTCTGTGATTTACAGAATCGACAAAGGATTAAGGCACTGATCCAGAAGACAATGAACTGAGAAGAGGCCCCACTGAATTATCTTGGAGCAACTGTAACTGTAGTTTGTTAGTGTGATCTGTCTGAAGTGAAACAGATCACTATATAATAATAATAATTTATTATTTATACCCCACCCATCTGGCTGAGTTTATCCAGCCACTCTGGGCGGCTCCCAATCAAGTGTTAAAAACAGCACAGCATTAAATATTAAAAACTTCTCTAAACAGGGCTGCGTGTTTGAATAAGCAGAAGATTGTACAGTGGTACCTCGTGTTACATACACTTCAGGTTACAGACTCCTCTTCTATTCTTCTCAGTTATATGATTATGAAAGTAAAGTTCTTTTGAATAGCAAGAGTCTGGCCACTGTATAGTCTGTAAAAAGGAACTATCAACTAGAATAGCTATTTGGCTTCCTAACTATAAGCTACTCTGTTACTTTGGATATCATAAAAATTCAGAGACAGACTTTAATGTTGTATACAGTGTAAGGCTGGGGAATTGAGAGGTGGGGAGAGCAAGCGGGGGGGGGGGTAGAATACACTTTCATTATTTTACAAAGTTCATATGCAAGGTGTTTGTGTCAGTGTGACATGGGTAGCTTCTCTTCCTATTCATTTATTAGTTTTCATTGGCAGTGAGAAAGATCGGGGGGCCCAGGGCACAGTTGGTTGCCTTCAGTTGACTGCAGTAAAGGTGGCGGAGGCTGAACCATTTTGAGGACGTGAGTTGCAATTTGAAGAAGACATGAGTTGCAATTTGACATCATCTGGAGGGGCCACAGGTTACCCAACAGGTCCGTTTTCAGCGCCTTCACCTTCTCCTGGCGCAGCTGCCCTTGGAACTCTTCGTACTGGATGTGCTTCGTCCTGTGGTGCCTCTGCAGGTGGGCCTTCTTCAGGACGGAGAGGGCCTCACCACAGATGAGGCACACAGGGATGTCTTTCAGCTCCACAAAGAAATAGTCGTGTGTCCATCTTTTTTGAAAATGCGGCACTCCAAATCTATCTTCCTCTTCTTGTGGAAACATTGATTGAAACAGACAATTAGGCAGACGGAGTTGTTCAAATATGGGAGTCCTATGCTGCCTATAGCCAGCCCTGGTCAGTAATGTGTCTGCAGCTCTTTGAGCCATTGAAGTTTCTGAGCTCTTTTCAAAGGCAGCCCCAGGTAGAGTGTGTTAAACTAACTCCTACGCAATGTGGCACCAGACTGCTTTCTTTTTTTGTAATTATCTGTTTGTTTTAAATTCTGTAGCTTAAATTCTCTTGATGCTTCTTTTTTTGAGAAGGGCCTCTTACAGTCACAAAGAAATGATTTTCAGTGCAGCTCCATAACACTGATTGTGCCCTCACACTGCCCCTTTTTGTGTGGGGATTTGGATCCAGAAAAGGAGCAGACGGGGAAAGGTTAAGCAGAATCCCACCCACCCCCTGCGCCACCCTTAGGTGTGCTCAGTCTTCGCCTGCTTCATGACTCCAGCTTCCACGAGAAGGCAGGATAGAGCTGCAGAAAACAGGAAGTGGTCCTTCAACCGGCCAGGACATCTCACCATCACAGACAGATCCAGTCTCCTGCTGTGGAGTCAAGAGTGGCCCAGGGATGGTGGAGAGAGGAGGGGAAGGGGCCAGGGACAGAAAGAATGGCAGGGCTACAGATTCTCCCTTGGACCCCTCCCCTGACATCAAGGGGAGCTCCTCTTCTGGGGCTGAAAGCATTGGGGTGGTTTGATTTTATCAGTATTGCAAGGAAGCATAGAAGGAAAGGTAAAAAACACCTATGCGGTTTATTAAAGTATCTGAGGTTTTTCCCCTGTGTGAGTTCGTTGATGTATTCTAAGGTATCCATTTTGACTGTAGCTCTTTCCACATTCAATACATTTAAATGGTTTCTCTCCCGTGTGAATTCGTTGGTGTTTTCTAAGTGATCCATTTTGACTGTAGCTCTTTCCACATTCAATACAATTATATGGTTTTTCCCCTGTGTGAGTTCGTTGGTGTATTCTAAGTGATCCACTATCACTGAAACTCTTGCCACATTCCATACATTTAAATGGTTTCTCCCCCGTGTGAGTTCGTTGGTGTATTCTAAGTGATCCACTATCACTGAAACTCTTTCCACATTCAATACATTTAAATGCTTTCTCCCCCGTGTGAGTTCGTTGATGTCTTCTAAGATTTTCACTTCTACTGAAGTTCTTTCCACAATCCAAACATTCAAATGGTTTCTCCCCCGTGTGAGTTCGTTGGTGTCTTCTAAGTGTTTCATTTTGACTGTAGCTCTTTCCACATTCAATACAATTATATGGTTTTTCCCCTGTGTGAGTTCGTTGGTGTATTCTAAGTGATCCACTATCAATGAAACTCTTTCCACATTCAATACATTTAAATGGTTTCTCCCCTGTATGAATTCGTCGGTGTACTCTAAGTGCTCCACTTTTGCTGAAACTCTTTCCACATTCAATACATTTAATTGGTTTCTCCCCTGTGTGAGTTTGTTGATGTATTCTAAGGTATCCATTTTCACTGTAGCTCTTTCCACATTCAATACATTTATATGGTTTTTCCCCTGTATGAGTTCGTTGGTGTATTCTAAGGGTTCCACTTGTACTGTAGCTCTTTCCACATTCAATACATTTAAATAGTTTCTCCCCCGTGTGAGTTCGTTGATGTATTCTAAGGTGTCCATATTGACTGAAGCTCTTTCCACATTCAATACAATTATATGGTTTTTCCCCTGTGTGAGTTCGTTGGTGTATTCTAAGTGATCCACTATCACTGAAACTCTTGCCACATTCCATACATTTAAATGGTTTCTCCCCCGTGTGAGTTCGTTGGTGTATTCTAAGTGATCCACTATCACTGAAGCTCTTTCCACATTCAATACATTTAAATGGTTTCTCCCTGTGTGAGTTCGTTGATGTATTCTAAGGTATCCATTTTGACTGTAGCTATTTCCACATTCAATACATTTATATGGTTTCTCCCCTGTGTGAGTTCGTTGATGTCTTCTAAGTGTTTCACTAAGACTGAAGCTCTTTTCACATGCAGTACATTTAAATGGTTTCTCCCCCCGTGTGAGTTCGTTGGTGTCTTCTAAGTTTTCCACTTTCACTGAAGCTCTTTCCACATTCAAAACATTCAAATCGTTTATCTCCTTTGTGAGTTTGTTGTTGTATCCTCAATTTTTTTGTTTTCCCCCATAAATTCACAGGTGGCTCCATAGAATTCTGACTTTCATCTTCCTCACCTGTTTGGGAGTCTGGGAGGAAAGAGAATCCTGTTAGACTTTCAAGAAAGACAAAAAAGGGAACTGAACACCTGTCCATCCCAATCTGCACCTTCTCTCGATGTAACACCTTCATTCTCCACTGTCCTCTCTAGGTTCCAAATTTTTTGCAAAGCTGATGAGACAGTGGCAAGAGCAAAACATGATCACTCTATTCAAACTTAATAAGGCAGCATCATTTTATAATACAGATCTATGCTGAAACTGGTTTGTTAGACACATCTCTATTTTTATTTCTCAAGTGAATGATCTCAGGCTCGAGTAACAGTGTCTCCCATGTGAAATAAGTGAAACTTAAGTGCTACATTTAACTGTAGAAATATTGCAATATATTGGAACCTAAGAAGAGCCTGCTGGATCAGGCAAAGGTCCACCTAGTCCAGCATCCTCTTCTCACAGAGGCCAACCAGATGCCTGTGGGAAACCGGCAAACAGGACTGGAGCACAAGAGTCTTCTCTGCCTTCCTGTGCTTTCCAGAAACTAGTATCAAGAAGCATTATTGCCTAGGACCGCGAGGGCAGAGCAGAGACGTCAGTGGACTTTTGACCAGGAAAGCTGGTGCCACTATAAACCTCTGAGTCTCTTTGTTGGCTTTGTGTACTTATGTTGAAATTTGCACCAAGGTTGTACCACAGTATCTCCATGGAAGCTTAGGGACGGACAAAATTACAGGGTGTCAGCTCTGTGAATCTCAAGCCTCTCGTGCCTCCGCTGACAGAGCCTGAGAACGCAAGAGATGTGATTCGGTTGGAAAGTGAAGCAGGGGAGGAGCAGCCAAGCTGCAGCAGGAGCAAAGAACAAAGAGCAGGAAGAGGGGGTGCTGGGGCGGGGCATAGACTGTTAGCTCCAGTTTGAGCTCTGACACAGGGACCCCAGAAATAGCCTGTCCAAAAACTCTTAGGCTCGAGAGAATCTGCGAGAAGAGGGGAAAAGAGAGCGAAAGTGGGGGCTTCTTTGCTGGAGGACTCGGCAACTGCAAGCTGGGATGAACAGGCCGAAGACTGAGCTCCACAGTGATTTATGAGTTTGAGATAATTACTACTGGAGTTGTCTCATGTCTGTGCGGGAGAACCAAGCTGAAATATACTCAGAGTCGCAAAGTGATTTCATGCTCTTTATTCAGCTCATAGTGGTGAGGAGGAATGAATAATTGTCCCCTCACAGTATCTGCTTTATATACATTATTTACACAATGGGCTGCACATGATTGGCTAATTCTGGAATTCTACTGTAAGCCAATCAGGTTGTGGATTCACTTCTATCTGGAGCAGGATTGGGTGGTTCCTGCCAACCAATCATACTGCTGCATTGTTCTAGGACCAATCAGACTGCTGCATTCTGAATCCTATTGTTCTAGGACCAATCAGACTGCTGCCTTTTGGATCCTATTGTTCTAGGACCAATCAGACTGCTACAGTTTGGATCCTATTCAACTCAGTACATAACACCCCTCCCCTCTAAGTTCCAGTCCTGCCCGGGAGGTCGCATTCATAGTCCTCAAGGTATGCCGGCGGCCTACGTGTGCGTTGTGGCCTGGGGTGTTCCCTGGTCCGGGCTCCAGGTTCTGGCTCGTGTTCCAAGGATGCTGGCTGTGATGCGGCTGTTTGGTCTGGTGCAACCGGCTCGCTCAGTCGTGGTTCTGGTTCCGGTGTCCTTTCGGCCTCACGGGTCCTCTCTGTATTTACTGATTCTGCCTCTCCTGCTGGCCCCTCCTGCTCTATGGGCCTCACTGCCCCGCTGTTCCCTTGGGACTCCTCTGACCTGTCCTCCTCCTGGTTTTCTCCCGGGAATCGTCGCCGTATCTGGTCGCAGTGGCGGCGCCAGCATTGCCCCCATCCGTTAGCACCTCGTACGACACGGGGCCAGTGACCCTGGTGATTGTGGCGGGTACCCATGCTGGGCCTGCCCCAAAATTCTTTGCGTACACTGGGTCCTGGGCCTCGAAGGTCCGGGGTTCCTGCCTTCCCCACCACTACCTCATCCTGAGCTCTATCGGGGTGAAGGCGGTCCAATCTGATTGCAAGGCGCCGACCCATTAGTAGTTCAGCGGGGCTCCGGCCAGTCGTTGAGCTGGGGGTGCTGTGCTGTGCTAGAAGGAATGTGGCAAGCCGGTACTCCCAGTCCCCTTGCGTCATGCGGCGAAGGGTGTCCTTGGTGGTCCGCACCATGCGTTCTGCTTGGCCATTGGTGGCAGGGTGGAACGGCGCCGAACGGATGTGGCGGATGGCGTTCTGCGCTGTGAAGGTTTGGAATTCTCCTGACGTAAATGCAGTCCCGTTGTCTGAGACGAGAGTGTCAGGGAGCCCGTGGGTTGCAAACAGCCTGCGTAGTACCCGGATGGCTGCGGACGTGGAAGTGGACGGTACCAGTGCGACTTCCAGCCATTTGGTGTAGGAGTCCACCACTATGAAGAATGTTTTCCCCTGAAAGGGGCCAGCGAAATCCACATGCAGGCGTGACCATGGTGCTCGGGCGGACTCCCAGGACTGGACTGGGGCCCTTGGGGGATCTGGGCGGGATTCTTGGCAGGCCTGGCAGTGTTTGACCCAGGCCTCTATCTCTCCATCGATCCCCGGCCACCACACATAACTCCTGGCAAGGGCCTTCATTCTTACTACCCCTGGATGTGTCTCGTGTAGGGCTGTGAGGACCCTTTTGCAGAGGGGCTGGGGAACAACGACTCTGCTTCCCCATAACAGGCACCCCTTGTGGGCCGACAGTTCATGTTTGCGGGTTGTGTAGCCGGCGAATTCTGGCCCGGGGCTGCTGCTGGGCCATCCCCTCCACACCCAGTCCAGGACCCGGGAGATGACCCTATCTTTCTTGGAATGGTGTGCAACTTCTTGTGCCTGAATGGGGCGGTCGGGAAGCAGCTCCAGGCTCATAACCTCTTGTGCAGGTGCTGGGTCAGGGCCTGTTTCCGGTAGTGGTAGCCTGCTGAGGGCGTCCGCATGGCCCATCGCCTTCCCAGGTCGGTGAATCAGTGCATACTGGTAGCTGGCAAGGAAAATTGACCACCTGAGGACGCGAGGAGACAGCACTTGGGGGGTCTGCTTTTCGGGGGCAAACAAGCCAAGCAACGGCTTGTGGTCAGTCACCACGGTGAAGGGCCGCCCGTACAAGAAATCATGGAATTTTTTTACTCCCTTTACGATTGCCAGACCCTCCTTGTCGATTTGCGAGTAGTTCCGCTCGGTTGTGTTGAGTGTCTGGGAAAAGTACGCCACCGGTACCTCTCTTCCATCCGGGAGTTGGTGCCCCAGGACAGCTCCAATGCCATAGGGTGAGGCGTCGCATGCTAGCACCACCGGCAGCCTCTCGTCGAAGTGTGCCAAGACCGAGTTTGAGACAAGCAAGTCCTTGACTGCCTGGAATGCGGCCTCCTGGCGCTGGCCCCACACCCAAGGGGCCCGCTTGTCCAGGAGTCTGTGTAGGGGCTCCGCTACCGCCGCCTTGTGGGGAAGGAAGGAATGGTAAAAGTTCAATAGTCCCAAGAAGGCCTGAAGTTCAGTCTTGCTCTTGGGCGCTGGGGCATCACAAATGGCCCGTACCTTGTCCCCAGTCGGGTGGACCCCTTCTGCGTCCACCATAAATCCCAGAAAGTCCACCTGAGGCACTCCTAGTAGACATTTTTCCCGCTTCACCTTGAGACCCGCCGTCTGGAAACGGTGCAGAACGGTGCGGAGGCGGTCCTCAAACTCCTCTGGTGTGGGCCCGGCAATCAACACATCATCGAAGAAGGGGGTGACGCCAGGAATCCCTTTAAGGAGAGAGTCCATTAGATTCTGGAATATGCCTGGTGCCACGCTGACACCGAATTGCAGCCGCTTTACCCTGAACGCTCCTCTGTGCGTCACAATCGTCTGTGCCTCTGCTGTGGCCTCATCTACTGGCAGCTGTTGATATGCTTGGGCCAAGTCCAGCTTGCCCAAAATTTTCGACCCAGCCAGGGTGGCAAGGACATGGCTGACCACTGGCACTGGGTATGCGTGGGCCGTGAGGGCCTTGTTTATGGTACATTTGTAGTCTGCGCAGATGCGGACCGAACCATTAGGCTTGACGGGTGTGACGATTGGGGTTTCCCAGGGAGCATTAGGCACCGGCTCCAGCACTCCTTGCTCCACGAGTCGGTCCAATTCCTCGTCTATACGGGGTTTCAAGGCGAACGGGACCCGGCGGGCCTTGAGCCTGACCGGTCGTACTGCGGGGTCAAGCTGTAGCGCAATGGGGGGGCCCGTATACTGTCCCAATTTCCCATCGAAAACCCCTGGAAATTCCTTGCATATGGCGTCCACGTCCACTTGTAAGCTAGTGTGGTTCACCCCGGTGACAGCTAGCCCCAGTGGTCCAAACCATGCCAATCCCAGTAAGCTAATGTAGGGGCCCTTGACCACAAGCAAGTCCAGTTGCCGCGTCCGCCCTCGGTATTGCACCCTGAAGGTCCCCACCCCCATTGTGGGGACCTTACGTTTCTGGAAGTCCCGGAGGGTGAATGGGGCCGGCCTGAGTTTGGGACCCCCAGTGGGACACAGTTTCCTTAAGGTCCTTGCCGAGATTATGGATAGAGTTGAACCCGTGTCAAGCTCCATGCGGCATGGGGCCCCCTCTATCTGTACCTCTACATAAATTTTCTCTACGTTGGGGTGGGGCAACTGGTATACCTGGAAGTCCGTGAGCTCCGTCGAGTTGCCTTGGTGCGTTGGGCCCCGGGACCTGGGGCTCTTGGATTGGTCATCTGATGCCTGGTGTCGGGTGGGCCGAGCCCGACACACCCGGGCGATGTGTCCCGATTTTCTGCACTGCCTGCACTCTGCGTTGCGGAAACGGCAGGTCCTCCTCTCGTGACTCTCCCCGCAGCTTGCGCAGTTCCCTCCTTCTCGTCGAGGCAGCTGTGGTCTGTGCGCTGCTTGAGTGCGCTGCTGTACTCGGTGCACCTCCTCCCTGTCGGATCCTGAGTCGTCGGTGAGGTCTTCGTGGTGGACCCTCGGTTGGGATGGCAGGCTCGGCCGTGCCTCTTGGGTCGACCTCTCGGCAGCTTCTGTTGCCAGGGCCTCCTCCAGAGCGACCTGGAACGTTAGGTCCTTCTTAGCGTAGAGGCGTCGTTGCAGCTTCTCATCCTTCAGGCCACCGACGAGGCGGTCACGAAGCATGTTCTCCAGCTCTGAGAAGTTGCAGAACCGGGCGGCTTGGCGGAGAGAGGTCACAAACCCAGTTATGGTTTCCCCAGGGGCTTGCCGCTTTGCGTAGAAGGCATTTCGACGAGCCACCACTGAGGGCTGCGGCGAAAGTGCCCCTTCAGCTGTTCCATTATTGTTTTGTATGGAACAGTAGCGACGTCTTCAGGCGCAAGGAGAGCCCGGGCGATTTCAAACGTCTCCTCTCCGCAGACGCTGAAGAATATCGCCCTCTTCTTGGCGTCTTCTTCGTCGGTGACCCCTTTGGCTTCTAGGAGGAAGGTGAAACGGGAGGCGTACGCTTCCCAGTCTCCAGATGCTGGGTTGAATGGCGAGAAGCTGCTGTTGGCTGCCATTCTGAGTTCCTTGTGCCCCGGAGCTGAAGCCTGGATACACGGTGCGAGGCAGCGGTGCGGCAGTTGGCGGTGCTGCGGTGCTGTGTGTGGCAGTCAGCTCAGCGGGATCCCACCCTCGTCGCCAGTGAAATATACTCAGAGTCGCAAAGTGATTTCATGCTCTTTATTCAGCTCATAGTGGTGAGGAGGAATGAATGAATGTCCCCTCACAGTATCTGCTTTATATACATTATTTACACAATGGGCTGCACATGATTGGCTAATTCTGGAATTCTACTGTAAGCCAATCAGGTTGTGGATTCACTTCTATCTGGAGCAGGATTGGGTGGTTCCTGCCAACCAATCATACTGCTGCATTGTTCTAGGACCAATCAGACTGCTGCATTCTGAATCCTATTGTTCTAGGACCAATCAGACTGCTGCCTTTTGGATCCTATTGTTCTAGGACCAATCAGACTGCTACAGTTTGGATCCTATTCAACTCAGTACATAACACAAGCCTTTACACAGGGGCGCTAAAATTATTATCCCACTCACTCTCACAAACAACCCCAGTCTGTAAGATTGGCAATTTTGCACAATTTGCTTATAATACCAGACGCTCTTGGACTTTATATGCCCAATCCTAAGTGCAGAGCCTCCAGCCCCAGGAATTGTGTATCATGATAACGGGTCCTTTGTCCCTTAACCCCACCAAACTGGGGAGGTGCATGCATCTATTGTGTTTTGATGCTGGTGGAATGTATGATTCTGACCCTGCCTATAAAAAAAATAAGAGTAATAGAAACAATTTATGTACATTAATTATAAATAATTATGGGAAACATTTCCATCCCACTTCACCCATTTTTCAGGATTGGTGTGCAACATCATTACCATCAATTATTCCTGCCGTGGAAATAACACCTAAGATTTCAAAGCCTGGAGGAAGAAAATCTGCCCCCACTACTTTAGGAAAAGGATTCAAGAAACAAAGAGCTGCTTCGGAGAAGGCCTCACCCCTTCCTTCTTCCTGTCAGGAACTTCCTTCCATTTGTCTCCTCTTCATCTTTTCCTCTTTCTCCCTCCACCATCCGTCTATCCCTGTCCCCATCTCCTCTTCCCTGGAACTCACCAGATTTCTCCAAGGGTCCTGGGAGGGAATGCTCAGACGTTCTGGGGAGAGATGCGGGAGACAGCCTGACCAGGTCAACCGTCCATCTTCCTCCTTCCATCCTGCCCAGGGTTGCAGGTTCAGTCTCAGCTAGGTTTGCAGGTTCAGCTTCCTGAGGAGCGCAGAATCCAGAGCAAGCTGCAGCTTCCTGGGAGGGAGGGAAGAAGAAGAAGCCAAGGGAGTCTGAGAGCCCCTGCAGGGATTCTCCTGCCCAAGACATTCTGCTGCCCCTGGAGAAGCCCCAATTGGGCACCCCCTTCCCAAGATCCCCCACCCATTTTCAAACACCTTTGGCAATTTCTTTCACCTGCCTGTCCCACCTCCCTTCCTAAGGCTGGCATGGTATGCACATTAGTGGCCTGAGAGTAGACCCCTGCAAGTGAAAGTAGCAATCCCTCTTGCTGTCCTGGCTTCTGTGATAGCTGTGCAGCCTGCATTCACTCCATAAGACCCACACACATTTCCCCTTACTTTTTAGGAATGAAAAGTGAGTCTTATAGAGCTAAAAATACGGTAACTTCCCTGAGCTGTCAAGTTGAAAGGATACATTCAGGCACAATATCTGTAACATTTAATAACTTTTGTGCCCCCCCCTAATTTCCTTAACATAAGAAATCTATATGTGGGACAAGAAGCTGCAGTTAGAACTGGATATGGAACAACTGATTGGTTCAAAATTGGGAAAGAGTACAACAAGGCTGTATATTGCTCCCCGCTTATTTAACTTATATGTGGAATTCAACATGCGAAAGGCTGGAGTGGATGAATCCCAAGCCAGAATTAAGATTGCCGGAAGAAATATCAACAACCTCAGATATGCAGATGACACAACCTTGATGGCAGAAAGTGAGGAGGAATTAACCTCTTAATGAGGGTTAAAGAAGAGAGTGCAAAATATGGTCTGAAGCTCAACATCAAAAAAACGAAGAACATGGCCACTGGTCCCATCACCTCCTGGCAAATAGAAGCGGAAGAAATGGAGGCAGTGAGAGATTTTACTTTCTTGGGCTCCATGATCACTGCTGATGGTGACAGCAGTCACGAAATTAAAAAGTGCCTGCTTCTTGGGAGAAAAGCAATGACAAACCTAGACAGCATCCTAAAAAGCAGAGACATCACCTTGCCAACAAAGGTCCGTATAGTTAAAGCTATGGTTTTCCCAGTAGTGATGTATGGAAGTGAGAGCCAGACTCTTGAATTGATGCTTTTGAATTATGGTGCTGGAGGAGACTCTTGAGAGTCCCACGGACTGCAAGAAGATCAAACCTATCCATTCTGAAGAAGATCAGCCCTGAGTGCTCACTGGAAGGACACATGCTGAAGCTGAGGTTTCAATATTTTGGCCACCTCATGAGAAGAGAAGGCTCCCTGGAAAAGACCTTGATGTTGGGAAAGATGTAGGGTACAAGGAGAAGGGGATGACAGAGGACGAGATGGTTCAACAGTGTCCTCAAAGCTACGAACATGAGTTTGACCAAGCTGCGGGAGGCAGTAGAAGACAAGAGTGCCTGGCGTGCTCTGGTCCATGGGGTCATGAAGAGTCGGACACAAATAAACGACTAAACAACAACAAACTTGCCAAATGAACCTTATATTGGCCCGTTTGACAAGACCAGCTACCATGTTTGAGTTGTTGTTTTTTTGGGGGGAGGGGAAAGGCTTAAGCATAATTTTGGGAGGCAGCAAATGGTCACATTTATTTATTTATTTTTAATAATATTTATTAAGGTTTTAAAGGTTACAAAAAGAAAAAATAATAACATCATATTAAACAACATCAAAAACAACACATCATAATAGGAAAAGAAAAAAAAGAAAATACAAAAACAGAAAAAGTCCATTAAAAAAATAAAACATCGAATCTTCCCATAACTTATCATTTGTTAGCTTGTTTTCTTGACCTCCTCACACCTCCCTTTTTTGTATTCTAGTTCGGTTAACTATTTCAGCAAATCCTTTCCATCTTTTCCAATTTTTGCCCTGTAATTTATCTTAATATGATATAACTTTACTTTCCCTCGTTTCACCAATTAACAGTCTATTTTTCCTAATCCTTTATAACATTTCTGCTAAAACCACATAAGTTCATTCCAATATCTTTCTAACATTCATTAATTTTACAATGTTTCTGTAAATAGTCTTTAAATTTCTTCCAATCTTCTTCCACCGACTCTTCTCCCTGGTCTCGGAGCCTGCCAGTCATTTCCGCCAGTTCCATATAGTCCATCACCTTCATCTGCCATTCTTCCCTGGTGGGTAGATCTTGTGTCGCAAATGGTCACATTTAAGAACTGTGGAATCGGTGATCTGTCACATGAGAAACAAGGCCTGATTCCCGCCCCCACCCCTTAATCCTCTCTAGCTATTTGCTGGTCCATCAACCCTGATGGAACTAAAAATATTCCTAGTTCCCCAAATTCCTGTCAAAACTATCCCAAGGTGGTGTCAACCATAAATTTTCTCTACTATTTTGAACACATCAGATGAATTGATTCAATTCAATATTCATAAGCATGGAAATGAAAATGCTCCCCTAAGTTTCCTTGGTTGTCCACTTCCAATCTCAGCTCTTGGCAGACTGTTTCTGAACTGGGAGGCATTGGCTGGTTCCTGTCACCTGACAGCTGGAGGTTTCCAGAGAGAGAGTGCAGAGTGCTGAGGAACCAGATGCTGAGACTTCAGCTAGAGTTCAACAACACAGGTGCTTGCTATATGCAATTTGGAGACAAAGAATCCTTTATTTTCAGTCAGATTCAGAACTATTTCCTGTCTTCTTACCTATGAATTACATTTATGTTCCACACTTACCTCATCAAGCCCACCACAAGATATATTGCTTTCACGCACACAGCAACCATGCGAGGGAGGTTTCGCATAAAGATGGTGACCAGCTTTAAGTTGCCCAATTGGCTTCACGACTGAGGAGGGATTTGAAATGTCCCTGGCATTTGTGGACCTAGATCCTTGGACTCCAGCTCCCATGAGCCCCAGCCAGCGTGGCCAATGGCTAAAGAAGACGTGAGTTGCAATTTCACATCATCTGGAGGGGCCACAGGTTACCCAACAGGTCCGTTTTCAGCGCCTTGACCTTCTCCTGGTGCAGCTGCCCTTGGAACTCCTGGTACTGGATGTGCTTCGACTTGTAGTGCCTCTGCAGGTTGGCCTTCCTCAAATCTATCTTCCTCTTCTTGTGGACACATTGATTGTGTCCAGAAACAGATAATTAGGCAGACGGAGCTGTTCTAACATGGGAGTCCTATGCTGCCTATAGCCAGCCCTGGTCAGTAATGTGTCTGCAGCTCTTTGAGCCATTGAAGTTTCTGAGCTCTTTTCAAAGGAAGCCGCAGGTACAGTGTGCTAAAGTAACTCCTACACAATGTGGCACCAGACTGCTTTCTTTTTTTGTAATTATCTGTTTGTTTTAAATTCTATAGCTTAAATTCTCTTGATGCTTGTTTTTTTGAGAAGGGCCTCTTACAGTCACAAAGAAATGATTTTCAGTGCAGCTCCATAACACTGATTGCGCCCTCACACTACCCCTTTTTGTGTGGGGATTTGGATCCAGAAAAGGAGCAGACAGGGAAAGGTTAAGCAGAATCCCACCCACCCCCCGCGCCACCCTTAGGTGTCCTCAGCCTTCACCTGCTTCATGACTCCACCTTGCATGAGAAGGCAGGATGGAGCTCCAAGAAACAGGAAGTGGTCCTTCAACCACCCAGGACATCTCACCATCACAGACAGATCCAGTCTCCTGCTGTGGAGTCAAGAGTGGCCCTGGGATGGCAGAGAGAGGAGGGGAAGGGGCCAGGGACAGAAGGAATGGCAGGGCTTCAGATGCTCCCTTGGACCCCTCCCCTGACACCAAGGAGAGCTCCTCTTCTGGGGCTGAAAGCATTGGCGTGGTTTGATTTTATCAGTATTGCAGGGAAGCATAGAAGGAAAGGTAAAGAACACCTATACGGTTTATTAAAGTATCTGTGATTTTTCCTCTGTGTGAGTTCGTTGATGTCTTCTAAGTGCTCCACTTTCACTGAAGCTCTTTCCACATTCAATACATTTAAATGGTTTCTCCCCCGTGTGAATTCGTTGGTGTACTCTAAGTTTTCCACTATCACTGAAGCTCTTTCCACATTCAACACATTTAAATGGTTTCTCCCCTGTATGAGTTCGTTGGTGCATTCTAAGTGTATCATTTCGACTGAAGCTCTTTCCACATTCAACACATTTAAATGGTTTCTCCCCTGTATGAGTTCGTTGGTGCATTCTAAGTGCTCCGCTTATGCTAAAACTCTTTCCACATTCAATACATCTAAATGGTTTCTCCCCTGTGTGAGTTCGTTGGTGTATTCTATTGGAGTCGGAACTTAACAGGTTAAGTTGTTCCCATGATGCCTCAGCATTCTGACGTCAGCTTTGGAAGCTGGGAGGAGTTTTGGGAGGAGTCTGACTGTTCCTCTCGGTGTTTGAGAGAGAAAGACGCAGTTTGCCATGGCTGCGAGAAGTCCTGGAGAAATGATGAAATAAAGAGCTGTAAATGGACATTACTGTGCTCTGTGTGTTTGTCTGAAGCTATGTGAAGCTACGTGACAGCTTTTGCTGCTGCGTGTTACTCTGCTGAGGCGTGACTGGAAGAAGGAGCAGATCGCGCAGAGGAAGTGTGCCGGACCTGCCGGATCTGCCATAAAGAGCTAATTGGGGATCGTAAATCCAATTAGCGGAGTCACGCGTAATCAATACTTCTACAGGTTATGGGTAACCTTAATCACCGATCGTAAAGCTGTCACTGGAGGCTGTCGGGGAGCTTTGAAGTTCTGCGTTCTGAGGCAGTTTGGCTGACGGAAGCAGAGGCCTGTCTTTGAGGCAAGCAAGCAAGCAAGCTGAAAGACGCTGTGCTGAATGCTGCGGTGCTGAGAGCAGCAGGAATCGTTTCTTCACGCCAGAGGAGCTGGTGATTTTGTGAGTACAGCTTGGGGCGTCTGGGGAGAACGGGGGAACATGGCAGATGGCCAGGAGGTGTTTCAAGCTCCGTTTGAACAGCTTGAGGAACTCACCACCCAAGCGTGGAATACCTGGGCAAGAAGGGTGAGAGCGTGGTTTTTAGCCACGGAAGTTTGGGACATTTCCCAGAGAGAACCAGTGGAACTGGTGGACAGAGATGACAGAGATGCAGAGACGCTGCAATCTGTTTCTCTGGAGGAGAAAATGCAGAGAGAGAAAGCTGTGAGAGCTGAGGTCTGCATGTTAAGAGCAGGTGTTCATGCTAAGTTGCAGCATCACCTGAAGAGCGTTGAATCTGCGTGTGAGGCCTGGCGAGTGCTGAAACGTCTGTGTGAAGACTCAGCAGGAGGCCAAGGGCAGATGAAAGCTGAAAGCCTAGAGATGGCTGGAGCCCCTGTTCCTGATGATTTAGCCTCAAGGAGTGCTAGTGAGCAAGTCAGGGGGGCGGAGAATTCCAAAGGCAAGTTTAAAAAGTTTTCCACTGTGCGTGCTGGAGTGGAGTTCAGAGGGGGCGGATCTGGCAAGGAGTGCTTTTCCGGAAGGAGGGCCAGGCCAGCTGAAAAGAGCCCCGGGCAGTGTTTTTCCACTGAAGTTCGTCGTTGCTACGTTTGTAATTCCACGGAACATCTGCGTCGAGATTGCCCTCACCGGAGCAGAGAGGCAAGGCAGGATGTTGTCAAGGTCAACTCTCATGGGAACCAGTCGGGTTTCCATGGCAACCAGTCTGGGAAAACAACCAGGCGTGGGACTGAGGCTGGTGGACGTGCCAAATGCCAGGAGGAGACGTATCAGATCACGGCTAGTCTGGCTTTGTCTGAAGACAGCTGTGGGACAGGCTCAGAGTTTTGTTTTGTGATAGACTCTGCAGCTAATTGCAATTTGATTCCAGAGACCCCTGCTGTCGAGATGTGGAATTGCAAGGCAATTCCTGCTGGGAAGACTGTACTTTTCGCAAATGGACAGAAAAGAAATGTGACTAATTCTGTAAATGTGTCTTTTTCTATTTTACAGGAGACGTTGGAGTGTTGTACCGTTCCAGGGATGCACCACTGTCTTTTGTCTGTACCTTATTTGTTAAAAAAGAGGTTTAAGGTTTGTTTTGAGGATGCTGTCTGCACAATCTCCAAGGGAGGGAGGATGCTTGCCAAGGTTAAAAAGGGGCAGAATGATCTCTTCATTCTTAAAACGTCTCTGGAGGGTGAGGGGAAGGTTGAGAAAGCACAAGCCCTGCGTGCTACAATTCCCAGTCATGTGACATGTGCTCATGTTTGGCATGCTAGGACAGCTCATGGTTCTTTAGAAGAACTACAGACGCTACCTGAGGTCGCCAAAGGTTGTCACATTGCAGAATGTGGATGTGCCATAAGTTGTGAAGCATGCAGACATGCAAAGGTAAAGGGGTGCAGTTACCCAAAGGTTGAGAGGGTAGCCGCAAAACCTTTTGAACTGGTTCACATAGATCTGTTGGGTCCCGTAAAGGAACCAAGTCTGGGAGGGGCCAGGTTTCTGCTGACGATGCAGGATGACTTTACGCAGAATACCTGGACACACGGTCTAAAATCCAAGGAAGATGCAGCACAACTGATCAAAGGTTGGATTGAGGAGGTGGAACTAAGGTTCTCCACCAAAGTGCAAGCTGTCACAAGTGACAGAGGTGCTCAGTTTACAGGTTCTGCTTTGCAGAAGTTCTTTCACAAGAAAGGGATACATCACACAGTGACTTCACCCAATCAGAGGGGGGTGTCACAGCTCAGGTGTGAGGCTCTGGTCAGAACTGCAAAGGTGTTGCTGGAAGATTCTGGGTTGCCACCAAAGTTTTGGCTGGAGGCAATCAGGTATGTGAGCTTCACCTGGAATCGTACCTACAATTCAATGGTAGGTGACACACCGTTTGGTTTGTTGCATGGCAAGAAACCCCAGATTCATTTTTTGCGCAGGTTTGGTTCGCATGCATCTGTGCCGGTGCCTGAAGTTTTGCAAGGGCCAGATGGATCCAAGTTCCGGAAAATGATCTTCTGTGGGTATGAGCCAGCAGCACGTGCATGGAGGTTTGCGTTCCCATCAGGTGATCAGAGTAAGTTGCTGATCAGCAAACACGCTGAGTTCTATGAACAGGATGGAAAGTCAAAGACTCCTGTCAAGCGTGATGTTCTTTCAGAATGTCTTTCTGATTCAGAACAGGAAGGTTCTGGGGAGGAGGAAGGAGAGGCTGAGTCTGCTGATGACGATCAGGTCACTGACCAAGGTCTGGAGCAGGGAGGGGCATCTCCACAAGTTGTTAAAAGAGAGGTCAAGAGTGAGCCTAGTCCTCCGGTAAGTGTAATGGAGAGGATTCGAAGTCGTTTTAAGTCAGAGGGGGAATCCAGAGATGCTGAGGACACACCTGCTAGTGATGGTGGGTCAGGGGAGGCATTTGAGTTTGTGCCCAGGCGATCCAGTCGCACAACGAAGGGCATTCCACCTGAAAGATATCAGGCTACAGGTGCGTCGATAAGTTTCGCACAGTGTGAGTCTGAGAGGTATGTGGATGTTCCACAGGTATTGTCAGAATGTGATGCAGAGGGGGTATTGGAGTCGGAACTTAACAGGTTAAGTTGTTCCCATGATGCCTCAGCATTCTGACGTCAGCTTTGGAAGCTGGGAGGAGTTTTGGGAGGAGTCTGACTGTTCCTCTCGGTGTTTGAGAGAGAAAGACGCAGTTTGCCATGGCTGCGAGAAGTCCTGGAGAAATGATGAAATAAAGAGCTGTAAATGGACATTACTGTGCTCTGTGTGTTTGTCTGAAGCTATGTGAAGCTACGTGACAGCTTTTGCCGCTGCGTGTTACTCTGCTGAGGCGTGACTGGAAGGAGCAGATCGCGCAGAGGAAGTGTGCCGGACCTGCCGGATCTGCCATAAAGAGCTAATTGGGGATCGTAAATCCAATTAGCGGAGTCACGCGTAATCAATACTTCTACATATTCTAAGGTCTCCACTTTCACTGAAGCTCTTTCTACACTCAAAACATTCAAATGGTTTCTCCCCTGTGTGAGTTCGTTGGTGTCTTCTAAGGTTTCCACTTTCACTGAAGCTCTTTCCACATTCAGGACATCTAAATGGTTTCTCACCTGTGTGAGTTCGTTGATGTATTTTAAGGTGTTCATATCGACTGAAGCTCTTTCCACATTCAATACATTTAAATTGTTTCTCCCCTGTATGAGTTTGTTGGTGTTTTCTAAGTGTATCATTTCGACTGAAGCTCTTTCCACATTCAACACATTTAAATGGTTTCTCCCCTGTATGAATTCGTTGGTGTATTCTAAGTGATCCCCTATCACTGAAGCTCTTTCCACATTCAATACATCTAAATGGTTTCTCCCCTGTGTGAGTTCGTTGGTGTATTCTAAGTGATCCACTAACACTGAAGCTCTTTCCACACTCAAAACATTCAAATGGTTTCTCCCCTGTGTGAGTTTGTTGGTGTATTCTAAGTGCTACACTTTGACTGAAGCTCTTTCCACATGCCGTACATTCAAATAGTTTCTCCCCTGTATGAGTTCGTTGGTGTCTTCTAAGTGCTCCACTTTCACTGAAGCTCTTTCCACACTCAAAACATTCAAATGGTTTCTCCCCTGTGTGAGTTCTTTGGTGTATTCTAAGTGCTACACTTTGACTGAAGCTCTTTCCACATGCCGTACATTCAAATAGTTTCTCCCCTGTATGAGTTTGTTGGTGTCTTCTAAGTGCTCCACTTTGACTGAAGCTCTTTCCACATTCAATACATTTAATTGGTTTCTCCCCTGTGTGAGTTCGTTGGTGTCTTCTAAGTGTATCATTTTGACTGAAGCTCTTTCCACATTCCGTACATTCAAATAGTTTCTCTCCTTTGTGACTTTTTTGTTGTATCCTCAATTTCTTTGTTTTCCCCCATAAATTCACATGTGGCTCCATAGAATTCTGACTTTCATCTTCCTCACCTGTTTGGGAGTCTGGGAGGAAAGAGAATCCTGTTAGACTTTCAAGAAAGACAAAAAGGGAACTGAACACATGTCAATCCCAATCTGTACCTTCTCTCATTTTAACACCTTCATTCTCCACTATCCTCTCTAGGTTCCAAATTTTACGAAAGCTGATGAGATAGTGGCAAGAGCAACACATGATCACTCCATTCAAACTTAATAAAGCACCATCGTTTTATAATACAGATCTATGGTGGAATTAGACACATCTATTTTTTTCTTTCTGAAGTGAAGAAATGATCTCAGGCTCAAGTAACAGTATTTCCCTTGTGAAATAAATAAAACTTAAGTGCTACATGTAACTGTAAAAATATTGCACTATGTTGGAACCTAAGAAGAGCCTTCTGGATCAGGCAAAGGCCCACCTAGTCCAGCATCCTCTTCTCACAGAGGCCAACCAGATGCCTGTGGGAAACCGGCAAGCAGGATTGGAGCACAAGAGTCTTCTCTGCCTTCCTGTGCTTTCCAGAAACTAGTATCAAGAAGGATTATTGCCTAGGACCGCGAGGGCAGAGCAGAGACGTCAGTCTTATCCTTTTCTTCAAGCTATCCATGTTGCTGGCCGTCACTGTCTCCTGTAGCATAGATTCCATAGATGAACTACGCTTCTGTTGATTCATCTTTTGCAGCCCTTAAAGGCAGATAAATGTATTATGGCCTACGCTTGTGTGGGCTGCAGTCTGACAAAGTGGACTCTTGACCAGGAAAGCTGGTGCCACTATAAACTTCTGAGTCTCTTTGTTGGCTTTGTGTACTTATGTTGAAATTTGCACCTAGGTTGTACCACAGTATCTCCATGGAAGCTTAGGAACGGACAAAATTACAGGGTGTCAGCTCTGTGAATCTCAAGCCTCTCGTGCCTCCACTGACAGAGCCTGAGAATGCAAGAGATGTGATTCAGTTGGAATGTGAAGCAGGGGAGGAGCAGCCAAGCTGCAGCAGGAGGAAAGAACAAAGAGCAGGAAGAGGGTGTGCCGGGGGGGGGGGGCACAGACTGTTATCTCCGGTTTGAGCTCTGACACAGAGACCCTGGAAATAGCGTGTCCAAAAAATCGTAGGCTCAAGAGAATCTGCGAGAAGAGGGGAAAGAAAGCGAAAGTGGGGGCTTCTTTGCTGGAGGACTCGGCAACTGCAAGCTGGGATGAACAGGCTGAAGACTGAGCTCCACAGTGATTTGTGAGTTTGAGGAATAAACCTGAGATAATTACTACTGGAGTTGTCTCGCGTCTGTGCGGGAGAACCAAGCCATTACACAGGGGCGCTATAAATTATAATCCCACTCTCTCCCTCCCTCCCTCTCACACACAACCCCAGTCTGTAAGATTGGCAAATTTACACAATTTGCTTATAATACCATCCGCTCTTTGACTTTATATGCCCAATACTAAATGTAGAGCCTCCAGCCACAGGAATCGTGTATCATGATAACTGGTCCTTTGTCCCTGAACCCCACCAGACTGGGAAGGTGCATGCATCTATTGTGTTTTGGTGCTGGTGGAATGTCTCATTCTGACCCTGTCTATAAAAAATATGAGAAACAGAAACAATTTAAATGCATTAATTATAAATAGTTATGGGCAGCATTTCCATTCCCCTTCACCCATTTTTCAGGATTGGTGTGCAACATCATTATCATCAATTATTCTTGCCGTGGAAATAACACCTAAGATTTCAAAGCCTGGAGGAAGAAAATCTGCCCCCACTACTTTAGGAAAAGGATTCAAGAAACAAAGAGCTGCTTTGCAGAAGGCCTCACCCCTTCCTTCTTCCTGTCAGGAACTTCCTTCCATTTGTCTCCTCCCCATCTTTTCCTCTTTCTCCCTCCACCATCCATCTGTCCCTGTCCCCATCTCCTCTCAATTGGAACTCACCAGATTTCTCCAAGGGTCCTGGGAGGGAATGCTCAGAGTTTGTGGGGAGGGATGCGGGAGAGAGCCTGACCAGGTCAACCGTCCATCTTCCTCCTTCCATCCTGGCCAGGGTTGCAGGTTCAGTCTCAGCTAGGTTTGCAGGTTCAGCTTCCTGAGGAGCGCAGAATCCAGAGCAAGTTGCAGCTTCCTGGGAGGGAGGGAAGAAGAAGCCAAGGGAGTCTGAGAGCCCCTGCAGGGATTCTCCTGCCCAAGACATTCTGCTGCCCCTGGAGAAGCCCCAATTGGGCACCCCCTAGCGGAAAAAACCGCTAATTGTATCCTTAAATTCTTTATAGCACAAGGGGGTTTCTTCATTCCCGCAGCTCTAAAATTATACAAGGCCAAAACTTTGGCACAACACCTCTATGGTTCCTTTTTGGGCCCACCTTCCTCTGCTTTCTCCCCCCTTGAGAGAGTTCAATCTAGACTTCTTAGAGCTCTCCTCCAAGTCCCCAGATGTGTCTCAAACGCATGGGTTAGATTGGAAATGGGGATGATGAGAGTGGAGGCTAGCATCTGCCTAATATCAATCTACAAGTGGCTGACATTGAACCTGCTCCCCCGAGGGATAGCCCCATTGATCCTCTGTGACCAATTCCAGTCGGGCTGGCAGACTGCAGTCCTGAACACCCTCCAGAAACTGGGTTTTGCCCCTCCAGCCCTTCTAAGTCTGGGCTTGGGCCAGGCAAAAGCTACGTTCAGGCAAAGAATATTAGACACTGAGAGACAGCAGGACTGTGCAAGGTGCCCCGACTATAGAATTGGAGAAATCGAGAGATATATAGCCGCACCGGCAGCATATCTCTTCTTTCTTGTATCTAGGGATGCAAGAAGGGCCTTTACACTCGCCAGAAGCTCGGCTCTTCCCTCGCCGGTCCTGGATGAAGCCTTTAGAAGGGTCCCGTATGCTCAGAGACTTTGCACCTGTCCATTGGGAGAGATAGGAAGCCCAGAATACTTATTCTTTAAATGTCCCTTTTATGAAGAGGCACGTAGTAAGAGCATGGATCCCCTACTGGTGAGGCTAGCCGACCTCCCGCAAAAGCAAAAATTTGACCTTTTGCTGTTAGGCAAAGATCAGAAGATGACCTGGATGGTCGCCAGATTCTGTGTACATTTCTGTAGGCGCAGACCATCGCCCAACTCAAGATAGTCCGACATGAAAAGCCCCAAACACGGTTCCATGGGTGACTCTGAGACAACTCCCTGGGACAGTTTATTGTTGTACATTGTTTCTAAATTTAGCGTTGAACATTGTTTTAATTTTCTGTTTTAACCATATTTGCACAGCAGTTTCTATTGTTGTGAGTGTCCTCTATTTAAGAGGCTTCTACTCTGCAGTCTCTTATAGTTGTTTTAACTGCGAGTCTTTTAGTTCTTATGCTCTTACAGTTGTTTTTACTGTGTGTGTTTGTTTGTTTTTAGTTCTTATCTGTTTTAATTATCAGTTTTTTTATCCATCCATTATCCGTGTTTAATGTTGTATTTTATTTAGATGTTTTATCCTATGCGTTTCCATGTCCTAATTTGCTGTAACAATTATTGGTTAAAAGAATCCTAACTGCTATTTTATCTATACGCTTTATTAATCCTGGTCTGTGACAATAATAAAGTTCATTCACAAGCAGGCACCCCCTTCCCAAGAGCCTCCACCCATTTTCAAACACCTTTGGCAATTTCTTTCACCTGCCTGTCCCACCTCCCTTCCTAAGGCTGGCATGGTATGCACATTAGTGGCCTAAGAGTAGATCCCATGGAACTTAAGAGTTAATCTGCAAAGGACTGCTCTGAATACATGGGTGGCCCTTGCATGGAGAAGAAGGAAGCTTCTTGCTTGCATCTGGACCCCCTGGGAGAAGCCGTGAATCCGCCCACTGCTCCCTCTGCCCTCGCTGCCGCCTCCGCTGTCCTCCTGCCCTGCAAAATCCCTTTGCTCTTGTTCTTCAGGGGAGAGAGGCAGAAAGAGCCTTCAAACCCATCCGTTTCCTCCACTGCTCCCCCTCCTCTCCTTTTGGGAAATAGGAACTTTGGTCAGGAGTAAACTACTTAGATGGCAAGTTCACAAGATAAGCACTTCAGAGAACTGCTTGCTCCTACTGTGTGTGTGTGTGTGTGTGTCTGTGTGTGTTTGGACCTAGAGGACAAATTACATGTTTACACCACGTGATTCCTTAAAGAGGGCAATTCTTTAAAACCGAAGGCCATTTCTACAAAATGGAAGATTTCTGAAGGCAGCCTTTTACAAGGAAATTTTTGATGGTTTTTATTTTGTTGGAAGCTACCCAGATGGGCAGAGGCAACCCAGGATGCAAATAATAATAATAATAATAATAATAATAATAATTGCTTCCTAAGCCTGTCCTGGGACGCGGGTGGCACTGTGGGTTAACCACAGAGCCTAGGACTTGCTGATCAGAAGGTCGGCAGTTCGCATCCCTGCAACAGGGTGAGCTCCCGTTGCTCGGTCCCTGCTCCTGCCAACCTAGCAATCCGAAAGCACGTCAAAGTGCAAGTAGATAAATAGGTCCCGCTCTGGCGGGAAGGTAAACGGCGTTTCCGTGCGCTGCTCTGGTTCGCAAGAAGCTGCTTACTCATGCTGGCCACATGACCCGGAAGGTGTACACCGGCTCCCTCGGCCAATAAGGCGAGATGAGCGCTGCAACCCCAGAGTTGGTGATGACTGGACCTAATGGTCAGGGGTCCCTTTACCTTTTTAAGCCTGTCCTGCTAGGCATGCTGATCAGAGACTCTGTCCAAACAACCCCTTCGAACGCAACAGGGCTTCCTATTTTTACTGCTATCAGTGGGATCAGTCAAACCACGAAGCCACTGATCAACCAGAGTTTCCTGTTTTGACCAAGCACAGTTTGAAGTTAGATTAATATCCCAGCTTATTCCAAAGCTGGCAGCCGTAGTTTCCTGGTTTGGGCAAAATGGATCGTTTGTTAGTTATGGCTCATAAGAGACTGCCTGGTTTCATCACAGTTCACCCTCAGGGCCGGCCAAATCATGAGGTAAGCTGGGACAATTAGGTCATGAGGCAGATGCAGGGAGAGATGGGACAAGCAGATTCCCAGCTCCCCTGTTTGTTAGCCTTGCTGCCAGTGCAGGACCACAGCTGGTAAATTTGTGCAACTACCCATGCAGAGTCCTTTTCTTTTGCCCTCTCTCACTAAAGGTTGGGTTGGGGTCCTTCCTGGAGTGATGCATTCTGTTTGTGGGGGCCAGGAGACTGTGGTGGCGGCGGCTAGAGTTTTTTGTTTTGAACTTGGGTCAACTTAGGTTTTATCATAATGTACCAAATGTACATTAGTACAGCAATGTACTAAAAACTGTTCCTATTTGTAACACAGCTTTTCAGGCTGTGATTCAGTCATCTGAACATGGCCATTATACTAATAAATCTTGCAACAACCTTGCAAGATGGGCCAGTGTTATTCTATTTGCACTGCACATGGCAGTGCTGAGGCTGCAAGACGTGCCAAGATTTCTACCTCAGTGGGGAGAAAAGAGCATTTTGGAAATGGAGGCAATTTAGAGGAGGAAAAAGGGGGTTGGTGGAAGGACCCCTCTTCTGACGTAGCTTCTGCTCTGATGAAATTCCGAGTCCCCTGTGGTTGCTTTATTAAAGTAACAACATCAGGAGATATGATCGCAAACCTCCCATGTGTAAGAAAGTTTGGTCTAGCAAGCCTTTTAAAAGTGGATTAGAGAGAAAGTGCAGGGAGGAGGAATATTCACCACCATAGCTAAACAGAACCTCCATGTCGAGAGGCAGTGGACCTGTGACCTCCAGGTGCTGGAAACCCAGGTGAGAGGAGGGCACTTACCTTTCCCAGAAGCCCCTCAGTGTCTGGGAGCAGGGTCTGGTCTGCTCCCCCTACACTCCCACTGGGCCACCGAGTGGCATCTGCAGCTCCCCTGAAGGAGAGGACACCATCCCCAGAGTGGGGAGGACTGGGAGCCTGTGGGGTTTCCCACCCTGAACGAGGGGGCTGCATCGTCTTCAGGAAATCCTGCTTCTGGGTCTCCCAGTGCTGCTGCAGCTGCCCCTCCTCTGGCTCCTGCTTAATCTGACATAAATCTGCCTGAGGCAAAAGATCCCTGATGGTCCCAACTTGGCCGGCAGGAGGTTTCTTTCCTTTGTACTTCAGTCTCTCCCTTTGAATGGGTCTCCTGGGTCCCTGCTCTTCCATTTTTACGCCACCCTGCTGGAAAAGAAATAAACACAAAGTAAAATAAAACCCAAGAATAAAAACAAAAGCCCATTTTTTAACCATTTGCCAGTTTTTGAAATATATTATTACTCTTTCTATTTCTAATGTTCAGGGTGTGAATGACAATCTTTATGTCACCCAAACGGCTCCACCCAGGGACGAGGGGAAGTTATCCAAAGACTGGGGGAAACATCAAGGTTTATGGAAGTACAAATAATATTTTGGGGGGGGGGAACCAAGGCAGAGGGAGGGAAATCCAAAAACAACCCAGTGAGAGGGCTGAGCATGTTCAGTGGACAGGGAATGCTGATCCTGGCTGCAACTTCTAGCATGTTGGAAAGGCAGCAACAGATCTTTGTATATGAATAAGGCTGCAACAGACCCAGCTAACATTTAAAGTACATGGCTTCACCCAATAAATCCTGCCAGCTGCAGTTTGTTAGGGGTGTTGAGAACTGTAGCAATAAACTACAGGTCCCATGGTTCTCTGGGCGAAGCCACGTGCTTTAAATGTATGGGATCTGCACAGCCCAAGAAACTGACAAAAGGAATATTGACCAACAAAATTAAAGAACTCACTCCAAAATATTTTAAATTTGATGGTCACAAACTCTCTTGACTGAAGACATTCTAACTTGCAGTCCATTGGCTGCATATGGCTTGCCAAGCCTCAGGGTGTGTCCTGCTAGTCCCTGCCATTTCCATCTCCTGATCTGATCATCGGATGAAGATCTCTGACTGTCCTGGAGAGAAAGATGCCTAAGGGGCCCTTAGAGAGATCTTTTCATCTGCAATTTCACCACAAAGCAGCACAGTGCTGAAATGGGGTAAAAACCCTGCTCTGGAAATAAATGATCCCTCTGGCTGCTCTTTAAAGAGGATTTCTAAAGAACAATCTGATGGGTCCTTTCCCCACAGATCTCTTTGCTAATTCAGAAGGGTCTTCTTGTGCTCTTATTTCTCCTCCCCCCAGCACTGGGGTTGGAAGGTCTAAACATACTGATTGTGTTTGCAAGACTTGTATGTATGCTAGATGGCATGTCTGGTGAGTGTGTGCAGCATCTCTGGCGTGTGTGCATGTACTTTATGGTCTGCATCTCTTTTCTGTGTGCGCATGCATGCGCATACATTGGCCACAAAGCTCACTGGAATGTGGCCTCCAGAATCAATGCAGCTTTAAGCCCATAAACGTTTCGTTCCTCCTGCTCTATCAGAAAGAACAATCAAATCTGAGACTATCAGGAGGAGAGAACTCCTGGATCTACAATGTTCTCAATATCCTATGGACACAAACTGCAATGAGATTTCCCTTTAATTGCTTTGAGATTTTTTCCCTTAAAAATATGAAGCAGCATAGAAATGAAATGAGTAATAATCTGAAAATGAATAGCTAATTTCAATTTCGCCTTCCTCAGTCTTTTACAATACTGTCTTCAACGTTTTTATTATCATTAATTCATTTCCATATGCCACACTTCTTAAGAATCCTCCTTTCCTCTGCATTCTCTAAACTGTCACCCACTTCAACCCTGCTGCCTTACTGAGGAAGGTGGAAATAAAACAATTAATGAAACCAGGCTTAAGCCTGTCTCACTGATTTACACGCAGACACAAGAGGTCACTAGCTTTGACAGCTTGGGAAAAGATCAGATGCGTTCTCCGGGGAAAAGATCCATTAGCTGTTTTATTAGCCGTGACAGAACAACAGAGCCTCCATGTGTAGGCACAGTGTACCTTGATGTGAGGAAGACAAAAGAAGCCATTTCCTTGCTAAATGAATCTGATGGACATCATTGCCACAAGATGCAGTGATGGTGGTGGCGGCTAAGAGTGCTTTAGAAGGCGACCAATTCATGAAGGAGGGCGATAGGTTCATCAATGGCACTGGCAGAGGAAGGGGGCAGGAGTAGTGGCCTGCAAAGGGTGTCAGGGGGCTGCACAGTAAGAGCCCCCCCCCCCCGTGCTGCACTGCTCTTCCATTTCCCCCCCCCTGCCTCCCCTTCCCTCTCCCCCGTGGGGAGGACCGTGGAAGAGGACGGGGCTCCCTGATGAGGGACAGGGAGAGGGGCGGCAAAAGCCCCAGCTACGCCGCTGATAATCAGACGACTATATGCATCGTCCATCGGGAAGCAGCAGCTGCCTTGGACCCCTCATTCTGCCCCTTGAGCTCAGGACTGAAGGGAGCAGCTCCCCAGGGTCTCCGGCAGGGTCCGTGCCAGGCCGAGCCAGAGATGTTTGCCCCTGTGCCCTCCTGCAGATGCCCTGCCCCTCAGCTGCGCCCCTTCCCCTTCCTGCCCGGTTGGGGGGCGCCCTGCAGCCTCTGGCTCCACTCGGGGCCTGATCCTGCCAGGTACACGTGCTCTCCCCCTCCTGCACCTCGGACTCCTAGCTCCGTCCCTGCAGCGAAATCCGGCTCCTCTCCGGGGAAACTCGCCAGGCCACGGGCCGCTGCTCCTCCGCTCTCCTCGGCGGGGGACAGGAAAGTGCAGCCGCTCTGGAGTCCCCCTGGCTGGCCCCGTTTCCTGCCTCTCTGAGCATCGGAGCTCGCTGGCTGTGGGTTGGGCCCTGGGAGGCTGCGAGGCTGGATGCGCCCCCTTGCGCTGTCCCTCAAAATTTATTGTATCGTTGGAATATACCTGGCATCTTATATGCTATCCAGAATGTCGCACAAATAAGTCTCCTTGTGATCCGATGTGCAGTCACTGGTTTCCTTATCAGCAAATATTTTCAGAAAGCTGGGACGATGCCACCCTGCAGCCATAGCTGTCAATTTTCAGATTTGAAAATAAGGGATCAGCAGACTCGGAAAAAAAGGATCAGCAGCCTCACCTGTCCCGGGGACAGTCTACAGGATATCTAACAATCCGGGATAGCAGCGGGAAATGGCTCTGGAATAAGGGAATTTCCCGCAAAAAAAGAAAAAAGAAAAAAAAGGGAAGGTTGACAGCTATGCCTGCAGCTCGAATGGGTAGCTGGAGGAGGCAGTTCATTTCCCAGCTCTGCTGGTTGGGATCATGCAATCACTTAGCTCCAGCAACCGACCTTTCCAAACCCTCCAACATTTCTCTGATGAAAATAGGAACATCCCATTCCATAGATATAATTTTCTTATTTATATACCGCACATCTTATTACGTTGCCCCAGCCACTCTGGGAAGTTTCCAACATATATAAAAAACATAATAAAACATTAAACATTTTCAAACGTCCCTATACAGGATTGCCTTCTCAGAGGGCCCGGGGGTCGGATAACTCCATTCCCTCCAGCATTTCTTCAATGAAAATAGGGAGACCCTAAGGAAAAGCGGAATATTCTGGGATCAAATCAGAAACCAGGACGGCTTCTCTAAATCAGGGACATCCCTGGGAAATAGTGGCACTTGGAGGGTTTCTCTTTCCCTGCTTTTTCATTCGCTGCCTCTGGTCTCCTGCATCCATTTAGCAGAGGAGGGGAACGGTTTTGTCCTTCATACTTCTCCACCCCCACCCCCCACCCCAATATAACCAAAAACACGCACACCATTTTGGAGTGAGGACCAAAAAAATAAAATCATTTTATTATTTTATTACTTATTTTTGCAGTTCAATCTACCGTATCTATACATTTTATTGTTTATAGCCAATGGCCACCACAATACAATATGAGCAGAAATCACACAGCTGCAAAACAAAAGACATTGCATGCTCCAGACCAGGATAAATCTATAGCGTCCAAAATTTATTTTCACGGTTGTTTCAATGGGAAGGATATAGGGCAGCAGAGTCCAGGTGGTGAGGTCCAGATTACAGCTTCCATCATCCTTGACTGTCAGCCCTGCTGGCTGAAGCTGATGGGAACTGGACAACAACATCTGGGGACATCTCAATGGTTATTCTGTGATATACAGAATCTACAAAGGATTAAGGCACTGATCCAGAAGAGAATGAACTGAGAAGAGGCCCCACTGAATTATCTGAAGTGAAGCAGAGGAAGATCATTATATAATAATAAAAATAATTTATTATTTATACCCCGCCCATCTGGCTGAGTTTCCCCAGCCACTCTGGGCAGCTTCCAATCAGGTGTTAAAAACAGTACAGCATTAAATATTAAAAACTTCCCTAAACAGGGCTGCCTTCAGATGTCTTTTAAACATAGGATAGCTGCTTATTTCCTTCACATCTGAAGGGAGGGTGTTTCACAGGGTGGGCGCCAGTACAGAGAAGGCCCCCTGTCTGGTTCCCTGTAACCTCACTTCTCACAATGAGGGAACCACCAGAAGGCCCTCGGCGCTGGATCTCAGTGTCCGGGCTGAACGATGGGGGTGGAGATGCTCCTTCAGGTATACAGGACCAAGGCCGTTTAAGGCTTTAAATGTCAGCACCAACACTTTGAAGTGTGCTCGGAAACGTACTGGGAGCCAATGCAGATCTCTCAGGACCAGTGTTATGTGGTCCCGGCGGCCACTAAATGTCAATAAGCAGAAACCTGTGGAGAAACAGAGACAATACTGCTGATGTGAAAGAAAAATGTTTCATAACAAACTATAAGAGAATTCAAGGGAAAACGTGCCCGTGTTTGAATAAGCAGAAGATTGTACAGTGGTACCTCGGGTTGCATACACTTCAGGTTACAGACTCCTCTTCTATTCTTCTCAGTTATATGATTATGAAAGTAAAGTTCTTTTGAATAGCAAGAGTCTGGCCACTGTATAGTCTGTAAAAAGGAACTATCAACTAGAATAACTATTTGGCTTCCGAACTGTAAGCTACTCTGTTACTTTGGATATCATAAAAATTCAGAGACAGACAGACTTTAATGTTGTATAGAGTGTAAGGCTGGGGAATTGAGAGGTGGGGAGAGCGAGCGGGGGGGAGGGGTAGTACACTTTCATTATTTTACGAAGTTCATATGCAAGGTGTTTGTGTCAGTGTGACATGGGTAGCTTCTCTTCCTTTTCATTTATTAGTTTTCATTGGCAGTGAGAAAGATCGGGGGGCCCAGGGCATAGTTGGTTGCCTTCAGTTGACTGCGGTAAAGGTGGCGGAGGCTGAACCATTTTGAGGAAGAGATAGTTGTAATTCTTGGTTTGGTCCTTCAAGTAAAGGTAAAAGTAAAGGGACCCCTGACCATTAGACCCAGTTGTAGACAACTCTGGGGTTGCGGCGTTCATCTCACTTTACTGGCCGACGGAGCCGGCGTACAGCTTCTGGGTCATGTGGCCAGCATGACTAAGCTACTTCTGGTGAACCAGAGCAGCGCACAGAAACGCCGTTTACCTTCCCGCCGGAGCGGTACCTTAATTGGCCTGGGAGCCGAGCCAGAGCTGCCAAGATAAGGACTCTTTGAGGTAAAGAGAGAGGCTCGGGATCAAGGAAAACCTGAAATGGAATTTTTCCAAGCTGCTGAATGCCCTAAGTCAAATGAAAAAAATTATCAGACCTGGGCAAAATGGTGTGAGAGTTTGCTGCGTCAGTATGGAGTATGGCATACTGTGCCTCAAGCCCCTCCAGTTCCTCTGACAGATAGATGGAGGGCCCATGATTTGAGGGCCATTGACATAATCGTCTTGTCCGTCTCTCTAGAGGAAATAAAAACGCTTGCTGGCAACGTGACGGCACGTAAGATGTGAAATGCTTTGAAAGCTGCCCATCTGCCAATCGTCCCAGCTCAGAGTCTGAATGCCCAGGGTGTGAGTGCATCGGAGGTCCTGGCTGTTCCCCAGAATGCGAGTGAATGCAGGGATGCAGAGGGCACCGGTTGCAAGCTGCAGAGGGAGCAGACTGTGATGTCAGCCCAGGCAGCATTCCGGCCTCCAGGGGGAGCAAGGAGTCAGCAGCTGAGAGCTCTGTTTCTCGTGGGAGCCAAGGTCATCGTCTTTGCAGAGGCCGGAAGGCCAGAGGTAAAAAAGACAGATGCCTGCAGATGGCCCGAAGCAGAGGGGGGGTGAAGAGCCCACGCCAGTGGAAAACAAAGCGTTGTTTGCTGGCACTGCTTCACCAAAGGCTAAAGGCAAGTCTGATGGCCAGGAGCAGGGGGGCAAGCTGCAAAAGCCCACGCCGGTGGAAAACAAGGTTTTGCTTGCTGAAAAGACTGCTCCAAAAGCCAGGTTTATTGTGGACTCAGGCGCCAGGCGCCATTTATCTAAGGATAGACACCTGTTTATCTCTTTCACACCGCCAGATGGAGAGATCCACCTGGCTGATGGAAGGACGTTGCAAATTGCAGGAGAAGGGACTGTTAAACTTGCAAGTTTGCATACAACCATCAGTAATGTACTTTATGTTCCAGGAGCTGAGGACAATTTGCTAAGTGTCCCACAGCTGACTGGGCGTGGTTTTGAGATTTCCTTCAAGAGGAGCGTCTGTGTCATCAGGAAAGGCAAAGAGGACGTTTTGCATGCAAAGTTTATGGGTGGTTTATTCTGTATAACTTATGATGACAATGCTGTTGTGTCTAATGCTGATTCTTGTTGTGTTGCACAAACTAACAAAGTTCTTCATGCAGGATGCATTCACGATGCACATCGAAGATTTTGTCACCTCTCTTGGCAAGCGCTAGCCAATATGCCAGAGTTGGTTGAAGGTTTGAACATCAAACCTTGTAAGTATCACATGAAATGTGTATCTTGTGCAGAGAACAAGGTGAAGGTTGCATAGCCCCTTTCAAATAGCGGGCTATGCGCTTCAGAGCTTTCCAATCCTGAACAGTAAAATTGTTAGCATGTCTGCTAAGCAGGTTAGTGCTTACAACAATGTCAGGTCTTGAGCAGTTACAGATAGGCAGCCGTGTTGGTTTGCCATAGTCAAAACAAAATTTCCCCCCCCTTCCAGTAGCACCTTAAGGATCAACTAAGTTAGTTCTTGGTATGAGCTTTCGTGTGCATGCACAATTCTTCAGATACACACATGCATGCACAGATGCATGCACACGAAAGCTCTGGTCCATGGGGTCATGAAGAGTTGTTGTTGTTTTTTGGGGGGGAGAGGGGAAAGGCTTAAGCATAATTTTGGGAGGCAGCAAATGGTCACATTTATTTATTTATTTTTAATAATATTTATTAAGGTTTTAAAGGCTACAAAAAGAAAAAATAATAACATCATATTAAACAACATCAAAAACAACACATCATAATAAGAAAGAAAGAAAAGAAAAAATACAAAAACAGAAAAATAAAGTCCATTAAAAAAATAACACATCGAATCTTCCTATAACTTATCATTCGCTAGCTTGTTTTCTTGACCTCCTCACACCTCCCTTTTTTGTATTCTAGTTCGGTTAACTATTTCAGCAAATCCTTTCCATCTTTTACAATTTTTGCCCTGTAATTTATCTTAATATGATATAACTTTACTTTCCCTCGTTTCACCAATTAACAGTCTATTTTTTCCTAATCCTTTATAACATTTCTGCTAAAACCACATAAGTTCATTCCAATATCTTTCTAACATTCATTAATTTTACAATGTTTCTGTAAATAGTCTTTAAATTTCTTCCAATCTTCTTCCACCAACTCTTCTTCCTGGTCTCGGAGCCTGCCAGTCATTTCCGCCAGTTCCATATAGTCTATCACCTTCATTTGCCATTCTTCCCTGGTGGGTAGATCTTGTGTCGCAAATGGTCACATTTAAGACCTGTGGAATCGGTTATCTGTCACATGAGAAACAAGGCCTGATTCCCGCCCCCACCCCTTAATCCTCTCTAGCTATTTGCTGATCCATCAACCCTGATGGAACTAAAAATATTCCTAGTTCCCCGAATTCCTGTCAAAACTATCCCAAGGTGGTGTCAACCATAAATTTTCTCTACTATTTTGAACACATCAGATGAATTGATTCAATTCAATATTCATAAGCATGGAAATGAAAATGCTCCCCTAAGTTTCCTTGGTTGTCCACTTCCAATCTCAGCTCTTGGCAGACTGTTTCTGAACTGGGAGGCATTGGCTGGTTCCTGTCACCTGACAGCCGGAGGTTTCCAGAGAGAGAGTGCAGAGTGCTGAGGAAGCAGATGCTGAGACTTCAGCTAGAGTTCAACAACACAGGTGCTTGCTATATGCAATTTGGAGACAAAGAATCCTTTATTTTCAGTCAGATTCAGAACTATTTCCTGTCCTCTTACCCATGAATTACATTTCTGTTCCACACTCCCCTCATCAAGCCCACCACAAGATATATTGCTTTCACGCACACAGCAACCCTGCGAGGGAGGTTTCACATAAAGATGGTGACCAGCTTTAAGTTGCCCAATCGGCTTCACGACTGAGGAGGGATTTCAATTGTCCCCGGCATTTGTGACCTCGATCCTTGGACTCAAGCTCCCATGAGCCCCAGCCAGCTCGGCCAACGGCTAAAGAAGACGTGAGTTGCAATATCACATCATCTGGATGGGCCACAGGTTACCCAACAGGTCCGTTTTCAGCGCCTTGACCTTCTCCTGGCGCAGCTGCCCTTGGAACTCCCTTGTACTGAATGTGCTTCGTCCTGTGGTGCCTCTGCAGGTGGGCCTTCTTCAGGACAGAGAGGGCCTCACCACAAATGAGGCACACGGGCATGCCTTTCAGCTCCACAAAGAAATAGTCGTGTGTCCATCTTTTTTGAAAATGCGGCACTCCAAATCTATCTTCCTCTTCTTGTGGAAACATTGATTGTGCCCAGAAACAGACAATTAGGCAGATGGAGCTGTTCTAATATGGGAGTCCTATTCTGCCTATAGCCAGCCCTGGTCAGTAATGTGTCTGCAGCTCTTTGAGCCATTGAAGTTTCTGAGCTCTTTTCAAAGGCAGCCCCAGGTAGTGTATGTTAAAGTAACTCCTACGCAATGTGGCACCAGACTGCTTTCTTTTTTTGTAATTATCTGTTTGTTTTAAATTCTGTAGCTTAAATTCTCGTGATGCTTCTTTTTGTGAGAAGGGCCTCTTACAGTCACAAAGCAATGATTTTCAGTGCAGCTCCATAACACTGATTGCGCCCTCACACTACCCCTTTTTGTGTGGGGATTTGGATCCAGAAAAGGAGAAGATGGGGAAAGATTAAGCAGAATCCCACCCACCCGCTGCGCCACCCTTAGGTGTGCTCAGCCTTCACCTGCTTCATGACTCCACCTTGCATGAGAAAGGATGGAGCTGCAAGAAACAGGAAGTGGTCCTTCAACCAGCCAGGACATCTCACCATCACAGACAGATCCAGTCTCCTGCTGTGGAGTCAAGAGTGGCCCTGGGATGGCAGAGAGAGGAGGGGAAGGGGCCAGGGACAGAAGGAATGGCAGGGCTCCAGATGCTGCCTTGGACCCCTCCCCTGACACCAAGGGGAGCTCCTCTTCTGGGGCTGAAAGCATTGGTGTGGTTTGATTTTATCAGTATTGCAAGGAAGCATAGGAGGAAAGGTAAAGAACACCGATACGGTTTATTAAAGTATCTGTGATTTTTCCCCTGTGTGAGTTCGTTGATGTCTTCTAAGTGCTCCACTTTGACTGTAGCTCTTTCCACATTCAATACATTTAAATGGTTTCTCCCCTGTGTGCGTTCGTTGGTGTCTTCTAAATGATCCACTATCAATGAAGCTCTTTCCACATTCAATACATTTAAATGGTTTTTCCCCTGTGTGAGTTCGTTGGTGTATTCTAAGATGTCCACTTTCACTGAAGCTCTTTCCACATTCCATACATTGAAATGGTTTCTCCCTCGTGTGACTTCGTTGGTGTCTTCTAAGTTTCGAACTTGTACTGAAGCTCTTTCCACATTCAATACATTTAAATGGTTTCTCCCCTGTGTGAATTTGTTGGTGTATTCTAAGGTCTCCACTTGTACTGAAGCTCTTTCCACACTCAAAACATTCAAATGGTTTCTCCCCTGTGTGAGTTTGTTGGTGTCTTCTAAGATATCCACTTTGACTGAAGCTCTTTCCACATTCCATACACTGAAACGGTTTCTTCCCTGTGTGAGTTCTTTGGTGTATTCTAAGTGCTCCGCTTATGCTAAAACTCTTTCCACATTCAATACATTTAAATGATTTCTCCCCTGTATGAGTTCGTTGGTGAATTCTAAGTTTCCCACTTGTACTGAAGCTCTTTCCACATTCAATACATTTAAATGGTTTCTCCCCTGTGTGAGTTCGTTGGTGTACTCTAAGTGCTCCGCTTATGCTAAAACTCTTTCCACATTCAAAACATCTAAATGGTTTCTCCCCTGTGTGAGTTCGTTGGTGTACTCTAAGTGCTCCGGTTATGCTAAAACTCTTTCCACATTCAATACATTTAAATGGTTTCTCCCCTGTGTGAGTTCGTTGGTGTATTCTAAGGTCTCCACTTGTACTGAAGCTCTTTCCACACTCAAAACATTCAAATGGTTTCTCCCTGTGTGAGTTCGTTGGTGTATTCTAAGTGCTCTGCTTGTACTGAAGCTCTTTCCACATTCAATACATCTAAATGGTTTCTCCCCTGTGTGAGTTCGTTGGTGTACTCTAAGTGCTCCGCTCATGCTAAAACTCTTTCCACATTCAATACATTTAAATGGTTTCCCCCTGTGTGAGTTCGTTGGTGTATTCTAAGGTCTCCACTTGTACTGAAGCTCTTTCCACACTCAAAACATTCAAATGGTTTCTCCCCTGTGTGAGTTCGTTGGTGTATTCTAAGGTATCCATTTTCACTGTAGCTCTTTCCACATTCAATACATTTATATGGTTTCACCCCTGTGTGAGTTTGTTGGTGTACTCTAAGTACTCCACTTTTGCTGAAACTCTTTCCACATTCAATACATTTAAATGGTTTCTCCCCCGTGTGAATTCGTTGATGTATTCTAAGGTATCCATTTTGACTGTAGCTCTTTCCACATTCAATACATTTATATGGCTTTTCCCCTGTGTGAGTTCGTTGGTGTATTCTAAGTGATCCACTATCACTGAAGCTCTTTCCACATACAGTACATTTAAAAGGTTTCTCCCCTGTGTGAGTTCGTTGGTGTATTCTAAGTTTTCCACTTTCACTGAAGCTCTTTCCACATGCCATACATTCAAATAGTTTCTCTCCTTTTTGACTTTTTTGTTGTATCCTCAATGTCTTTGTTTTCCCCCATAAATTCACCTGTGGCTTCATAGAATTCTGACTTTCATCTTCCTCACCTGTTTGGGAGTCTGGGAGGAAAGAGAATCCTGTTAGACTTTCAAGAAAGACAAAAAAGGAACTGAACACTTGTCAATCCCAATCTGCACCTTCTCTCATTTTCACACAGTCTCCATTCTCCACTGTCCTCTCTAGGTTCCATATTTTTTGAAAAGCTGATGAGATAGTGGCAAGAGCAACACATGATCACTCCATTCACACTTAATAAAGCAGCATCGTTTTATAATCCAGATCTATGGTGGAATTGGCTTATTAGACACATCTATTTTTTCTTTCTGAAGTGAAGAAATGATCTCAGGCTCAAGTAACAGTATTTCCCTTGTGAAATAAATAAAACTTAAGTGCTACATGTAACTGTAAAAATATTGCAATATATTGGAACCTAAGAAGAGCCTGCTGGATCAGGCAAAGGCCCACCTAGTCCAGCATCCTCTTCTCACAGAGGCCAACCAGATGCCTGTGGGAAACCGGCAAGCAGGATTGGAGCACAAGAGTCTTCTCTGCCTTCCTGTGCTTTCCAGAAACTAGTATTAAGAAGCGTTATTGCCTAGGATTGCGAGGGCAGAGCAGAGACGTCAGTCTTATCCTTTTTTTCAAGCTATCCATGTTGCTGGCCGTCACTGTCTCCTGTAGGATAGATTCCATAGATGAACTACGCTTCTGTTTATTCATCTTTTGCAGCCCTTAAAGGCTGATAAATGTATTATGGCCTAAGCTTTTGTGGGCTGCAGTCTCACAAAGTGGAATTTTGAGCAGGAAAGCTGGTGCCACTATAAACTTCTGAGTCTCTTTGTTGGCTTTGTATATTTATTTTGAAATTTGCACCAAGGTTGTACCACAGTATCTCCATGGAAGCTTAGGAACGGACAAAATTACAGGGTGTCAGCTCTGTGAATCTCAAGCCTCTCGTGCTTCCGCTGACAGAGCCTGAGAAGGCAAGAGATGTGATTCAGTTGGAATGTGAAGCAGAGGAGGAGCAGCCAAGCTGCAGCAGGAGCAAAGAACAAAGAGCAGGAAGAGGGGGTGACGGGGGGGGGGCACAGACTGTTATCTCCAGTTTGAGCTCTGACACAGAGCCCCCGAAATAGCCTGTCCAAAAAATCGTAGGCTCTAGAGAATCTGCAAGAAGAGGGGAAAAGAAAGTGAAAGCGGGGCCTTCTTTGCTGGAGGACTCGGCAACTGCAAGCTGGGATGAACAGGCCGAAGACTGAGCTCCACAGTGATTTATGAGTTTGAGATAATTACTACTGGAGTTGTCTCATGCCTGTGCGGGAGAACCAAGCCATTACACAGGGGTGCTAAAATTATTATCCCACTCACTCACTCACTCACACAAACAACCCCAGTCTGTGAGATTGGCAAGTTTACACAGTTTGCTTATAATACCACCTGCTCTTGGACTTCATATGCCCAATCCTAAGTGCAGAGCCTCCAGCCACAGGAATTGTGTATCATGATAACGGGTCCTTTGTCCCTTAAGCCCACCAAACTGGGGAGGTGCATGCATTTATTGTGTTTTGATGCTGGTGGAATGTATCATTCTGACCCTGTCTATAAAAAATAAGAGTAATAGAAACAATTTAAATACATTAATTATAAATAATTATGGGAAGCATTTCCATTCCCCTTCACCCATTTTTCAGGATTGGTGTGCAACATCATTATCATCAATTATTCCTGCCATGGAAATAACACCTAAGATTTCAAAGCCTGGAGGAAGAAAATCTGCCCCCACTACTTTAGGAAAAGGATTCAAGAAACAAAGAGCTGCTTTGCAGAAGGCTTCACCTCTTCCTTCTTCCTGTCAGGAACTTCCTTCCATTTGTCTCCTCTCCATCTTTTCCTCTTTCTCCCTCCACCATCCATCTGTCCCTGTCCCCATCTCCTCTCCCCTGGAACTCACCAGATTTCTCCAAGGGTCCTGGGAGGGAATGCTCAGAGGTTGTGGGGAGGGATGCGGGAGACAGCCTGACCAGGTCAACCGTCCATCTTCCTCCTTCCATCCTGGCCAGGGTTGCAGGTTCAGTCTCAGCTAGGTTTGCAGGTTCAGCTTCCTGAGGAGTGCAGAATCCAGAGCCAGTTGCAGCTTCCTGGGAGGAAGGGAAGAAGAAGCCAAGGGAGTCTGAGAGCCCCTGCAGGGATTCTCCTGCCCAAGACATTCTGCTGCCCCTGGAGAAGCCCCAATTGGGCACCCCTTCCCCAAGATCCCCCACCCATTTTCAAACACCTTTGGCAATTCCTTTCACCTGCCTGTCCCACCTCCCTTCCTAAGGCTGGCATGGTATGCACATTAGTGGCCTGAGAGTAGATTCTTGGGAACTTAAAAGTTAATCTGCAAAGGACTGCTCTGAATACATGGGTGGCCCTTGCAGGGAGAAGAAGGAAGCCCCTTGCTTGCATCTGGACCCCTTGGGAGAGGCGGGGGATCCGCCCACTGCTCCCTCTGCCCTCGCTGCCTCTTCCTCTGTCCTCCTGGCCTGCAAACACCCTTTGCTCTTGTTTCTCAGGGGAGAGAGGCAGAAAGAGCCTTCAAACCCATCCGTTTCCTCCTCTGCTCCCCCTCCTGTCCTTTTGGGAAACAGGAACTTTGGTCAGGAGTAAACAACTTAGACGGCAAGTTTGCAAGATAAGCACTTTGGAGCACTGCTTGCTCCTACCATGTGTGTGTCTGTGTGTGTTTGGACCTAGAGGACAACATACATGTTTACACCAAGTGATTCCTTAAAGAGGGCAATTCTTTAAAACCGAAGGCCATTTCTACGAAATGGAAGACTTCCGAAGGCAGCCTTTTACAGGGAAAGTTTTGCTTGTTTTTGTATTGTTGGAAGCTACCCAGATGGGCAGAGGTAACCCAGTCAGATAGGCAGGATGAAAGTAATAATAATAATAATAATAATAATAATAATAATAATTGCTTCCTAAGCCTATCCTGGGACGTGGGTGGCACTGTGGGTTAAACCACAGAGCCTAGGACTTGCCGATCAGAAGGTTGGCGGTTCGAATCCCCGCGACAGGGTGAGCTCCCGTTGCTCGGTCCCTGCTCCTGCCAACCAAGCAGTTCGAAAGCACATCAAAGTGCAAGTAGATAAATAGGTAGCGCTTTGACAGAAAGGTAAGCAGCGTTCCCGTGCACTGCTCTGGTTCGCAAGAAGCGGCTTAGTCATGCTGGCCACATGACCCGAAAAGTGTACGACGGCTCCCTCGGCCAGTAAAGCGAGATGAGCTCTGCAACCCCAGAGTCGGCCACGACTGGACCTAATGGTCAGGGGTCCTTTACCTTTTTAAGCCTGTCCTGATTGGCATGCTGATCACAGACTCTGTCCAAACAACCCCTTTGAATGCAACAGGGCTTCCTATTTTTACTGCTATCAGTGGGAACAGTCAAACCACGAAGCCACTGATCAACCAGAGTTTCCTGTTTTGACCAAGCAAAGTTTGAAGTTAGCTTAATATCCCAGCTTATTCCAAAGCTGCCAGCTGCAGTTTCCTGGTTTGGGCAAAATGGAAAGTTTGTTAGCTATGGCTCATAAGAGATTGCCTGGTTTCATCACAGTTCACCATCAGGGTTGGCCCAATCATGAGATAAGCTGGGACAATTAGGTCAGGAGGCAGATGCAGGGAGATATGGGACCAGCACGTTCCCAGCTCCCCTGTTTGTAAGCCTTGCTGTCAGTGCAGGACCACACCTGGTAAATTTGTGCAACTACCCATTTAGAGTCTTTTTCTTTTGCCCTCTCTCACTAAAGGTTGGGTGGGGGTCGTTCCTGGAGTGATGCATTCTGGTTGTGGGGGCCAGGAGACTGCGGTGGTGGCTAGAGTTTTTGGTTTTAATCTTGAGTCAACTTAGGTTTTATTGTAACTTTGCTGCAGCAATGCATTAAACACTGTTCCTATTTTTAACCCGGCTTTTCAGGCTGTGATTCAGTCATCTGAATCTGGCCATTATCTTAATAAATCTTGCAACAACCTTGCAAGATGGGCCAGTCTTATTTAATGCGACTACACATGGGATAGCTGAGGCTGCAAGACGTGCCAAGAGATTTACCTCAGTGGGGAGAAAAGAGCATTTTGGAAATGAAGGCAATTTAGAGGAGGAAAATGAGGATTGGTGGAAGATCACCTCTTCTGACGTAGCTTCTGCTCTGATGAAATTCCGAGTCCCCTGTGGTTGCTTTACTAAAGTAACAACATCAGGAGATATGATCACAAAACTCCCATGTATAAGAAAGTTTGGTCTAGCAAGCCTTTTAGAAGTGGATTAGAGAGAAAGTGCAGGGAGGAGGAATATTCACCACCATAGCTAAACAGAACCTCCATGTCTAGAGGCAGTGGACCTGTGACCTCCAGGTGCTGGAAACCCAGGTGAGAGGAGGGCACTTACCTTTCCCAGAAGCCCCTCAGTGTCTGGGAGCAGGGTCTGGTCTGCTCCCCCTACACTCCCACTGGGCCACCGACTGGCATCCGCAGCTCCCCTGAAGGAGAGGACACCATCCCCGGAGTGGGGAGAACTGGAAGCCTGTGGGGTTTCCCACCCTGAACGAGGGGGCTGCATCGTCTTCAGGAAATCCTGCTTCTGGGCCTCCCAGTGCTGCTGCGGCTGCCCCTCCTCTGGCTCCTGCTTAATCTGACATAAATCTGCCCGAGGCAGAAGATCCCTGATGGTCCCAACTTGGCCGGCAGGAGGTTTCTTTCCTTTGCACTCCAGTCTCTCCCTTTGAATGGGTCTCCTGGGTCCCTGCTCTTCTATTTTTATACTACCCTGCTGGAAAAGAAATAAACACAAAGTAAAATAAAACCCAAGAATAAAAACAAAAGCCCATTTTTTAACCATTTGCCAGTTTTTGAAATATATTATTACTCTTTCTATTTCTGATGTTCAGGCTGTGAATGACAATCATTATGTCACCCAAATGACTCCACCCAGGGAGAAGGGGAAGTTATCCAAAGACTGGGGGAAACATCAAGGTTTATGGAAGTACAAATAATATTTGGGGGTGGGGGAACCAAGGCAGTGGGAGGGAAATCCAAAAACAACCCAGTGAGAGGACTGAGCATGTTCAGTGGACAGGGAATGCTGATCCTGGCTGCAACTTCTAGCATGTTGGAAAGGCAGCAACAGATCTTTGTATATGATTAAGGCTGTGATAGACCCAGCTAACATTTAAAGTACTCCTGCCAGCTGCAGTTTGTTAGGGGTGTTGAGAACTGTAGCAATAAACTACAGGTCCCGTGGTTCTCTGGGGGAAGCCACGTGCTTTAAATGTATGGTATCTGCACAGTCTAAGAAACAAACAGACAAAAGGAATATTGACCAACAAAATCAAACAACCCACTCCAAAATATTTTATATTTGATGGTCACAAACTCTTTACTGAAGACATTCTAACTTGCAGTCCATTGGCTGCATATGGCTTGCCAAGCCTCAGGGTGTGTCCTGCTAGTCCCTGCCATTTCCATCTCCTGATCTGATCATCGGATGAATATCTCTGACTGTCCTGGAGAGAAAGATGCCTAAGGGGCCCTTAGAGAGATCTTTTCATCTGTAATTTCACCACAAAGCAGCACAGTGCTGAAATGGGGTAAAAGCCCTGCTCTGGAAATAAATGATCCCTCTGGCTGCTCTTTAAAGAGGATTTCTAAAGAACAATCTGATGGGTCTTTTCCCCACAGATCTCTTTGCTAATTCAGCAGAGTCTTCTTGTGCTCTTATTTTTCCCCACCCCAGAACTGGGGTTGGAAGGTCTAAACATGCTGATTGTGTTTGCAAGACTTGTATGTATGCTAGATGGCATGTCTGGTGAGTGTGTGCAGCATCTATGGCATGTGTGCATGTGACTTTATGGTCTGCATCTCTTTTCTGTGTGCGCATGCATGTGCATACATTGGCCTCAAAGCTCACTGGAATGTGGCCTCCAGAATCAATGCAGCTTTAAGCCCAAAAAGTGTTCCTCCTGCTCTATCAGAAAGAACAATCAAATCTGAGACTATCAAGAGGAGAGAACTCCTGGATCTACAGAGTTAATGTTCTCAACATCTTATGGAGACACAAACTGCAACGAGATTTCCCTTTAATTGCTTTGAGAATTTTTCCCTTAAGAATATGAAGCAGTATATGAATGAAATGAGTAATAATCTGAACATTAATAGCTAATTTCAAATTTGCATTCCTCAGTCTTCAACATATTTATTATCATTAATTCATTTCCATATGCCACACTTCTTAAGAATCCTCCTTTCCTCTGCATTCTCAAAACTGTCACCCACTTCAACCCTCAGCCTTCATCTCAAAACTCTGCTGCCTTACTAAGGTGGAAATAAAACCTTTAATGAAACAGGCTTAAGCCTCTCTCACTGATTTACACGCAGACACAAGAGGTCACTAACTTTGATAGCTTGGGAAAAGATCAGATGCGTTCTCCAGGAAATAGCTCTATTAGATGTTTTATTAGCCTTGACAGAACAACAGAACCTCCATGTGTAGGCAGAGTGTACATTGATGAGGGAAGACAAAAGAAGCCATTTCCTTGCTAAATGAATCTGATGGACATCATTGCCACAAGATGCGGTGCTACTGGCGGCAAAGAGAGCTTTCAAAGGCGATCAGACTAATTCACCAAGGAGGGCGATAGGTTTATCAATGGCACTGGCAGAGGAGGGGGGGCAGGAGTAGTGGCCTGCAAAGGGTGTCAGCGGGCTGCAGGGTGAGAGGGACACCTCCCTGTTGCACTGCTCTTCCATTCCCCCCCTGCCTCCCCTTCCCTGTCCGCCGTGGGGAGGACCGTGGAAGATAACGGGGCTCCCTGATGAGGGACAGGGAGCGGGCGGCAAAAGCCCCAGGTACGCAGCTGATCCATCGGGAAGCAGCAGGACCCTTGAGCTCAGGACTGAAGGGAGCAGCTCCCCAGGGTCTCCGGCAGGGTCCGTGCCAGCCTGAGCCAGAGATGTTTGCCCCGTGCCCTCCTGCAGATGCCCTGCCCCTCAGCTGCGCCCCTTCCCCTTCCTGCCCGGTTGGGGGGCGCCCTGCAGCCTCTGACTCCACTCGGGGCCTGATCCTGCCAGGCGAGGCGTACGTGCTCTCCTCCCCCTCCTGCCCCCCCCCGCCTCCTGCACCTCGGACTCCTCGCTCCGTCCCTGCACCGGAATCCGGCTCCTCTCCGGGGAAACTCGCCAGGCCACGGGCCGCTGCTCCTCCGCTCTCCTCGGCGGGGACAGGAAAGTGCAGCCGCTCTCGAGTCCCCCTGGCTGGCCCCGTTTCCTGCCTCTCTGAGCATCGGAGCTCGCTGGCTGTGGGTTGGGCCCTGGGAGGCTGCAAGGCTGGATGCGCCCCCCTTGCAAGGCGAGGGCTGCAGAGACCGCCCTGCTGCTTCCCCTGCCCTCAGATTTGCAGCCCGCTGCTTCTGATCCTGGAGGTTCTGCTCTTAGCTGTCGGGGCAAATGGATTAGCCCTATGAGATCTGGTCCATTCCTAGCTCTGGAGCAGCAGGGAACAAGCTTTTTGCACCCTTCTCTTGGGATGGTCACACGCCGCCATCTGTGTCCCCGTGTACACAAATCACTGAGTTGTCTTATTGTCTTAACTCAGTCAGTAGAGCGTGAGATGCTTTATCTCAAGGTTGTGAGTTCGAGTCCCATGTGAGAAAAAGTGGAAATAAAGTGTAATGTTACCTTGAAATTGTGTACACAATAGTCCGATGGTTTTTAGAGAAACCCGAAAACTTCCCCTTTCTATACCCTTTCGTTGTCATCAAGCAGTTGGTCCCTTACCTTTCCCGCCCCGACCTGGCCACAGTGATCCATGCGACGGTCACCTCCAGGCTTGACTACTGTAATTCGCTCTACGCTGGGCTGCCCTTGAAGCTGTCCCAGAAACTCCAGTGGGTGCAGAATGCAGCCAGGCTGCTCACGGGGTCTCTGCCATGGGAGCATGTTCACCCAGTACTTTTCAAGCTGCACTGGCTCCCGGTGGAGTACAGGGTCAGATTTAAGGTGCTGCTTTTGACCTTTAAAGCCTTTCACAGCCTAGGACCCTCGTACCTACGGGACTGCCTCTCCCGGTATGCTCCACGGAGAGCCTCAAGGTCCATAAATAGCAACACCCTAGTGGTCCTGGGCCCTAAGGAAGTTAGATTGGCTTCAACCAGAGCCCAGGGCCTTTTCAACTCTGGCTCCGGCCTGGTTGAACGCTCTGTCTCATGAGACCAGGGCCCTGCAGGATCTGATTTCTTTCCTCAGGGCCGGTAAGACAGAGTTGTTCCGCCTGGCCTTTGGCTTGGAGCCAAATTGATTCCCTCCCTCCCTCTCTTTTTTCTTTTCCTTTCTCTTCCTGCGATGAGGCTACATTTTAATATTTCAATGTTTCAATATTTTAATGTATTTTAATTTTGTTTTTAAGTTGTAATCATTCAACTTGTTTTTATTATTGCTTGTTAGCCGCCCTGAGCCCGGCCTTGGCTGGGGAGTGCGGGGTATTAATAATAATAATAATAATAATAATAATAATAATTCTGTAATAAGTGGGTTTTGTTTGGAAAGCTGTCTCTCAAAATTTATTAGAACATTGGAATGTACCTGGCATTCTATAAGCTCTTCAGTATGTTGCACAAATAAGTCTCCTTGCGATCAGTATGCAGTCCCTGGTTTCCAAATCCTCTACAGGAAATCTTCCTGAAATACCATTTCATGAAGCTGGGACGATGCCACCCAGCTGCCTGAATGCCTAGCAGCTGGAGGAGGCAGTCCAGTTCCCAGCTCTGCTGGCCTAGGTCATGTGATCACTTAGCTCCAGCAACAGGTGCCAGGGCTGGGGTCTGTTATCTTTCCATACCCTCAAACATCTCTCTGATGAAAATAGGAGTGTCTTGTTCCATAATGATAATTTTACTATTTATACCCCACACATCTTATTAGGTTGCCCAAGCCACTCTAGGCAGCTACCAACATATATAAAAACATAAGAAAACATTTTAAAAATTCCCTATACAGGATTACCTTCAGACAACTTGGGGGTCACATAACCCCATACCCTCTGGCATCAAGTCAGAAACTGACGACAGCTTCTGTAAATCAGGGACATCCCTGGAAGACAGTGGCACTTGGAGGGTCTGTCTTTCCCTGCTTTTTCCTTTGCTGTCTCTGGTCTCCTGCCTCCATTCAGCAGAGGGGGCCTTCATACGGAGAAGGATCGGGGCCAACAGGGCATAGTTGGTGCCTTCAGATGACTGCAGTGAAGGGAGAACCGTTTGGAGGAACAGATTATTGCAATTCTTGGAAAGGGATGGAAAGAGCACGGCTACATCGTGGTTTGGTTCTTCAGGTACTTGTTGTTCAAGTTGTTCCATGGAATTCCTGATCTGGACCTTGTGTGGGAAATGACACTCTTAGGGTCTTGAAGCAATGCCTTTCAACACAGCTCCATAACATTGATTGCGCCCTCACATTGATTGCTCCTTCTGGTGCGGGGATTTTGATCCAGAGAAGGAGCAGAGGGAGAAAGGTTAAGCAGAATACACCCCCCATGTCGCCCTTAGGTGTGCTCAATCTTCACCTGCTCCATGACTCCACCTTGCATGAGAAAGAAGGAAGGAGCTCCAGGAAACAGGAAGTGGTCCTTCAATCGGCCAGGACATCTCACCATCACAGACAGGTCTAGTCACCTGCTGGGGAGTCAAGAGTGGGCCAGGGATGGCAGAGGAGGGAAAGGGGCCAGGGACAAAAGGATGGTAGGCTCTAGATGCTCCCTGTCAGCATCGCCCTTGAGCCAGTGCCACCAACTGGACTCATCCACTTCATCCCCGACTGGGCTAGGCGAGCTGGGTAGCACTTCCAGAGACCACCTTCTGCACAGGAACAGGTCAAAGTGCTGTGGACTCACAGCTTAGAGTTGTGAGCACCAGATTCACTTCCACAAGAAGACAGTCGTCGCACAGCAGAGTATAGCAGAGTATAAACGACTCGGAGAGCAGCTCTGTAGAATATCTTCTTTATTCTATCTACAGCTATAATACACAACTATATACAGAGCTTAATGAGGTCTAAGCATAAATGAATACTGAACCGCACTGAGTGCCTGCAGCTGCTCTTAGCAGCAACCTTATCTATACACACGATCTCTAACACTCAATCTCTCTCTCTCCAACACACTGACTGACTGACTCTTTGATGTGGTGCTGGAGCAGAATAAGTAGAGAGCAGAACACCGCCCCTCCTCTCTGGAAAATCACCAGACTCATCAGGAGATTCTTGGATATGGGAGGGGTGAAATCTCCTCACTCCCTTGGACCCCTTCCTTGACACCAAGGGGAGCTCCTCTTCTGGGGCTAAAAGCATTGCTGTGGAGGTTTCATTTTTGTCATGATTGCAAGGGAAGAAGGGAAGGTAAAACCACCACCAACCACACACAAACACAAAGAACTGAATGAAAATAGCCCTATCTGAGCGATTAGCTACCGGAGAGCATAATGTGGTGTTTAGTTGTGATGCTCACCTGCCTCCCTGGAGGAGTCTTTTCTTGGGTTCAGGGAGCTGGGGGAGCAACATGAAGTTCCCAGGTTACATTTCCTTCTGGTCAGCTATTCCAGCTCTTGTCTCCTCCCCATTTCTTTATGGAGGGGCAAAAGCTATGCACTTTGTATAGATGCAAGTATAACCAACAAAATAACTGCAACCAATCAGAGGGAAACAATGCTGCTGGCACCAATCAAAGGCTAGCCCCCTTCCTCTGCAGGGCGGGGGAGAAGCCAGAAGGGAGGGAGGAGGCGCTGTCAGGAAGAGAAAAAGAGAGAGAAAAATGGTGCAGCCCAAACTATATGAATCAGAACCATGAGGCGATTTCTGGACCTTCCGTGGGCCGGATCCAGAACCCATTCGGGTCAGAACCAGCCCGTGGCCCTTAGGTTGCTGACCCCTGCCCAGAGACTTCACAGCCATCTTCACTTCCTAGGAACTCTGGGAACTGTAGTTCTGGGAGGAACCTCTCAGAAGTTTCTGAGCCTCCTCAGCCAACTACAATTGGACATCCTGAGACTACAATTCCCAGAAAAGCTCGACCAAGGCCTTTAGCCACAGCCCTGACCAAATAATGGAGCTTTCTCTTCTCTCCCTCTCCACCTCCCACATTCACAACAAATCAGTCTCTCACTCCTCAGTCCCTTTCACTCATCTCCCCTAGCCCTAATTCTTTCACATTCTTTTAAAACATTTCTGTGAACTAAGGAACACAAAAAACACCCTCACTGGTCACCTTCCACGGGTCAAAAGCCAATGCAGAAAATATTTAATAAAAACAGCACAAAACAGGTACACAAGAGCACAGAAAATAGGAGATAAGTTTTAAAAGCAATCCCAAATGAACATTTAAAACAGGGACCTTTCATTCAGCTGGAAAATGCTATCAGTAAAAAGGTCTTCAATAAATTATGCAAAGTTCAAGTAATGAGCACCTGGAATGCTGATCAACAAGACAAAGGCAGGCCATCATTTTGGAAGTGAAAGGCAAACCTGAAAAGTCAACAGCTTCAACACACACCTTGATAATTTCAGATTCACACTCTCTCCCTGTTTATCTAGCAACAAGTTGCCACTTACTTTGTACGTTTATTGTATGTGACCTTCATTACTTTAATACATTTATGTGTATACAAATTTAAGTACAAACACTAAAAAGTCATTCCATGCATTTACAACTGATTTCCCCCTTTATGAGTTTCTTGAGATTCCACCTTGAGTGGAAAACTCCATACATTTATATTGTTTCCCTAGTGTGAATTTGCTAATGAATATTGAGGTCTCCACTCCCTCTGAAGCCCTTTCGACATTCAATACACCTGTAGTTTTCATCGTGTGTGTGTTAGCTGATGTCTTCTAAGGTGTCCAATTTGATTGAAGCTCTTACCGCACTCCATACATTTAAATGGTTTCTCCCCTGTATGACTTCGCTGATGACTTTTAAGTGTCCCACTTCGACTGAAGCTCTTTCCACATTCAATACATTTAAATTGTTTCTCTCCTGTGTGAGTTTGTTAATGTCTTCTAACTGCTCCACTTTCACTGAAGCTTTCCACATTCAATACATTTAAATGGTTTCTCCCCAGTGTGAGTTCGTTGGTGTATTCTAAGTGTTCGACTTTCATTGAAGCTCTTTCCACATTCAAAACATTCAAATCATTTCTCCCCCGTATGAGTCCTCAGAGGAGAGAGGCAGAAAGAGCCTTCAAACCCATCTGTTTTCTCCTCTGCTCCCCCTCCTCTCCTTTTGGGAAACAGGAACTTTGGTCAGGAGTAAACAAGTTAGATGACAAGTTCGCAAGATAAGCACTTTAGAGCACTGCTTGCTCCTACTATGTGTGCGTCTGTGTGTGTTTGGACCTAGAGGACCCAAACTCTACCCACCCTTTTCCTGGTTCCAGTCCCCAACCAATATCCATCAGTCTTTATATGTTATTTAGCCTGGAGATCTCACGTCCGAGGCCCTTAAATCTCTCTCAGTTCCTCTCTGCCAGTCTTTTTGATAGTCTTTGATATTAAACCCCAAATCTCGGAGAGGCTCTGGCCCAACAGGATCCATATTTCTTCCAGCCAGACCTCCATATTTAAAAACAAAGCCTGTGGGGTACTCCAACTCTTGTTTCATACTCCTTTCAAATCCAAATGTGCCCCTTTCACACTGCCCCTTTTTGTGTGGGGATTTGGATCCAGAAAAGGAGCAGACGGGGAAAGGTTAAGCAGAATCCCACCCACCCGCTGCGCCACCCTTAGGTGTGCTCAGCCTTCACCTGCTTCATGACTCCACCTTGCATGAGAAGGCAGGATGGAGCTGCAAGAAACAGGAAGTGGTCCTTCAACCAGCCAGGACATCTCACCATCACAGACAGATCCAGTCTCCTGCTGTGGAGTCAAGAGTGGCCCTGGGATGGCAGAGAGAGGAGGGGAAGGGGCCAGGGACAGAAGGAATGGCAGGGCTCCAGATGCTCCTTGGACACCTCCCTTGACAGGAAAGGGAGCTCCTATTCTGGGACTGAAAGCATTGGCATGGTTAGATTTTGTCAGTCTTGCAAGGAAGCATAGAACTAAAGGTAAAAAACACCTATGCGGTTTATTAAAGTTAATTAAAGTATCTGTGGTTTTTCCCCTCTGTGAGTTTGTTTGTGTCTTATAAGTTTCCCACTTTCACTGTAGCTCTTTCCACAATCAATACATTTAAATGGTTTCTCCCCTGTATGAATTCGTTGGTGTCTTCTAAGTGTTTGACTTTCATTGAAGCTCTTTTCACATTCAATGCATTTAAATGGTTTCTCCCCTGTGTGAGTTTGTTGGTGTCTTCTAAGTTTCCCAGTTTCACTGAAGCTCTTTCCACAATCAATACATTTAAATGGTTTCTCCCCTGTGTGAGTTTGTTGGTGTCTTCTAAGTTTCCCACCTTCACTGTAGCTCTTTTCACATTCAATGCATTTAAATGGTTTCTCCCCTGTGTGAGTTCGTTGGTGTATTCTAAGTTTCCCACTTTCACTGAAGCTCCTTCCACATTCAATACATTTAAATGGTTTCTCCCCCGTGTGAGTTCGTTGATGTATTCTAAGTGCTCCATTCTTACTGAAGTTCTTTCCACATTCAATACATTCAAATGGTTTCTCCCCCGTGTGAGTTCGTTGATGTATTCTAAAGTCTCCCAGTTGACTGAAGCTCTTTCCACATTCAATACATTTAAATGGTTTCTCCCTTGTATGACTTCGCTGATGACTTTTAAGTGTCCAACTTCGACTGAAGCTCTTTCCACAATCCACACATTCAAATGGTTTCTCCCCCGTGTGAATTCGTTGATGTATTCTAAGAGGTCCACTTTTACAAAAGCTCTTCCCACATTCAATACATTTAAACGGTTTCTCCCCTGTGTGAATTAGTTGGTGTATTCTAAGGTCTCCACTTTGATTGTAGCTCTTTCCACATTCAATACATTGAAATGGTTTCTCCCCTGTGTGAGTTTGTTGGTGTATTCTAAGTTTCCCAGTTGTACTGAAGCTCTTCCAACATTCAATACATTTAAATGGTTTTTCCCCCGTGTGAGTTCGCCAATGTACTGTAAGTTTATCCTTCCGGTTGAAGTTCTTTCCACACTCCCTACATTCAAATAGTTTCTCTCCTTTGTGAACTTGTTGATGTATCCTCAGACTTCCACTGTGATAAAAGCACATCCCACATTCCATACATTTAAGCTGTTTCTTTGTTTTTCCCAATGAATTCACAGGTGGCTCCACAGAATTCTTACTTTCATCTTCCTCAATTGTTTGTGAGTCTGGGATGAAAGAGAATCCTGTTAGACTTTCAAGAAAGACAAAAAAGGAACTAAACACCTGCCAATCCCAATCTGCACCTTCTCTCATTTTAACCCTGTCTCCATTCTCCACTGTCCTCTCTGTGTTCCAAATTTTTAGGAATGAATATGTGATAATGGCAAGAGCAACACATGTTCACTACATTCACACTTAATAAAGCAGCATTATTTTATAATACAGATCTATGGTTGAACTGGCTTATTAGACACATCTCTATTTTTGTTTTTCAAGTGAGGAAATGATCTCAGGCTCAAGTAACAGTGTCTGCTTTGTGAAATAAGTAAAACTTAAGCGCTGCATGTAACTGTAAAAATATTGCAATATATATGAACCTAAGAAGAGCCTCCCCTTCCTGGATCACTACCTTGCCGTGGCAAAGGGGCTTGAATAACTCAGAGAAGCTATGAGCTATGCCGTGCAGGGTCACCCAAGATGGACAGGTCATAGTGGAGTTTTGACCAAATGTGATCCACCTGGAGCAGGAACCAGCAAACCACTCCAGTATCCCTGTCAAGAAAACTCCATTGACAAAGACAACAGACAAAAGTTATGACGCTGGAAGATGAGCCCCTCAGGTTGGAAGGCATCCAACATGCTACTGAGGAAAAGCGGAGGACAAGTACAAGTAAATTCAGAGCTGATAAAGCGGCTGGGCCAAAGCCGAAAGGTCGCTCAGTTGTGGATATGCCTGGAAGCGAAAGGAAAGTCCAATGATGCAAAGAAAAAGTTTGCATAGGAACCTGGAATGTAAGAACCATGAACCTTGGTAAGTTGGATGTGGTCAAAAATGAGATGGCAAGAATAAATATTGACATCCTAGGCATCAGTGAACTAAAATGGACAGGAATGGGCGAATTCAGTTCGGATGACCATCATATCTACTATTGTGGGCAAAAATCCCGTAAATGAAATGGAGTGGCCCTCATAGTCAACAAAAGGGTGGCGAGAGCTGTACTGGGATGCAATCTCAAAAATGATAGAATGATCTCGATACGAATCCAAGGCAGACCTTTTAACTTCACAGCAATCCAAGTTTATGCACCAACTACTAGTGCTGAAGAAACTGAAATTGACCGATTCTATAAAGACTTACAACACCTTCGATCATGGAATGTAGCCACCGCCCTGGCAAGCAAGCCATCAAAATATAGATATTCCACTTTGTCCAACTCCGCAGGATTACTCAAAGTACCTGGCATGTATGCCTTAAAGAAGTTCAGTAAATGGACTTTGCGATCCTCTTGTGATATAAATCCATGATCGGAGATTGGCAAAACTGATATATAAACACAGAGAACATCTAAAGACAAGTGGTGTAAAGATATCAAGATACTTTAAAAATAAGGCCTCTCCTATCCCACTATTCCCCAGTCCTGCAACCTCGACTACAGCACCTCATCAAAAGGCTGAATAAGACACTTTAATTGATATAAAAGCCACTGAGGACTCGCCTAATCACCACCCAGAGTTACTTACTAATGATTTTCAAAGACCAGACTCTCCCGGGACTTTATATGAGGCGAGCCAAGGTAACGGGTTCGAAAGTTTTGAAAATAAGTTAATTAACTCCTACTGTGCTCTCCCCCAAGAAACTCAGAACAAAATACTCTATAGACTGAATAACCTTCGTTCTTGTCTGACAAATCTGACGAAGGACCAACCGGGACCACACAACCAAAACATATCTGATTATGTCCCAGAGCAGGCTTCATGCTTCTATCGTCACGAGCTGGATTTATGGGTCGGGAAACCCTCCGTCACCCCAGGCCAATTGGTTGCTGCGGAGATGAATCCATCCTCTCAGATCTTGGAGCCGAAACGCCCCTCCTATAACCCAGCTCGCATGCAATCCATCTCAGAGGCAAACCTGGTCACTACATTAGCATGGGATAAAATGAGAGAATTAGATGAGACTGAATTGGGCTCCCCAAATAAAGTGCCCAGCATGGGTGCGCCAGGTTGCAACCCTAGCATTCCACCCTCCTCAAATGTGAGCATACTGAATACATCTTTAAACATCATCGAATTAGCATCTGAACTATCTGAACCCGCTGAAAGGGCTAATAGTAAGAACCAGAGGAACTTGGTGTGACATCCGGAATGCACCACGCATACCTCACTAGCACCCTTAAATCAAAGATCTCTCCAAACTCTTTCTATTGTGTCCTGGAATGTAACTGGACTCTCATGTAAATTAGCTGATTCTGATTTTATAAATTTTCTTGATTCTTATGATATAATACTTTTGCAGGAAACCTGGTCTCTTAAACCTTTAAATATTCCTAACTTTATTACTTATAATTTACCCGCTACTAAAATGTCAACAAAAGGTCGCCCTAAAGCCGGTTTGATCTGTGGTATTAAACAGTCTTCTAACCTTAAAATTAATTATATCAGAAATATTGGACAGTATGCACAATTGTTATCATTTTCCATTGTCTACAGGGAAATTCTTCTTTTAAATATATATTTTCCTCCCATAGAGTTGGAAATTAGACCAGATTATGGTTGGAATATAGTCTCTGAAGAGCTGTATTTAATACGTAGTAAATCTCCAAATATCCCCCTGATTGTAATGGGAGACACCAATGCTCGAATTGGATCAGATAATATAGCTCTCTATAAACGCTATGTCTCAAATCTAGCTGAAGATGCCCCACTTTCATTGAGAATAGGAAGGAATTCAAAGGACATCATTATTAATAAAGCGGGAGGAAAACTTTTACAATTGGTTTTAGAATTTAACCTCTCATTTTTGAATGGCTCAATGTGGCCGGATATTCCAGGAAATTTTACCTTCAGCTCCAAAAGGGGTAGGAGCGTAATCAACTATTCTCTAGTTTCCGTTGAAATGTTAAATGAAGTTGCCTCTTTCACAGTTGTACCTCGCACAGAGAGTGACCATATCCCAATAGTTTTAGAGATGTACAGGAATCCTAGAAATAATGATATTAGTCCTCTTATTAGTACTGATAAGACTATTTATGCCAAAAGAATTTATATAAGTGATAAAAATAGGGAGGTTTAATTAGCAGTATTTGAAAATAACCCAGTTATTCTCGAACCTGTGGCTAACCAAAATTTGATGCCCTTGGAGGACAATGATTGTTATTATAAGACAATCCAGGAATTATTTTCTTCTTTTTTAGACCCTCAGTTCAGCAACAAACCTTTAAATAAGTATAACTGGTTTGATAAAGATTGTATTAACTATAAGAAAGAACTTAGAATTTGTCTAAAAGAAGCCTATATTACCAACTCTCAAGGTCTCTGGAAGACTTATTTTGAAATGAAAAATGCTTTTAAGAACATGCTCCTGGAAAAAAAATCTGAGTTTGCACTAGCCAAATGGTCTAAAATTGTTACTACATTAGAAATCAAAGATACTAAAACTTTTTGGTCACTTCTCTCAATAAAAGATATCACTGATTTCCCTAATATAAGCGATAAGGCTTGGATTTCACATTTTACGGATGTTTTTTATGATCACCAAGTTTGTAAAAAGGAAAATTTTAAATTTTCTCTGGCAAAAACCACACAATTTCAAATTACTGCTGAGGAGATGAAAAGGATAATTTTTTCGTTTAAGCAAGGGAAATCACCAGGTATGGATGGCATTCCAATAGACCTGTTGAGATTAGATGTAGAATGGTGGGCCATTAAACTTGTGCCACTTTTTAATTCTATCTATCACTCAGCCCTTGTGCCTAAGTCGTGGAACAACTCAATAGTGGTACCGATCTTTAAAAAAGGTGATAGGAATTGTCAAGAGAATTACAGGCCTATAAGTTTGTTACCATGCATAAGTAAAATCTATGCCAAATCTCTGCTTATTAAATTGGAAGAATGGATGCTGACAAAAGGTCTACCTGGTAAAGAGCAGGCTGGTTTTCAGGCAGGCGCGTCAACTCTTGACCAGTGTCTAGTGTTAAGTCATCTTGTGGACAAATATGTCATGAGAAATAAATGAAAACTCTTTGTGGCATTTGTGGATTTAAAAAGTGCCTTTGATTTGGTCGATCGTAACAAATTATGGACTAAACTAGAACACCTTGGTATCGACCCATATCTACTTACACTGATTCAAAGTTTACATTCTAATAACCAAATATATGTTAAAGTATCAAAAGATGGTAGACTTGCAGGTCCTATTCTGAATAATTGAGGAGTTAGGCAAGGCTGTATCTTGGCCCCTACCCTATTTAATCTATTTTTATCTGACCTACCATTATTTCTTCAAAACGCAACCACCCATACTCCTTATTTAAACAATAGCCCACTTTTTTATTACTTTATGCAGATGATGCTGTAGTTATTTCACTCTCTGTTTTGGGTTTAAAAAAAATTATTTAAGAGTTTCTCAAACTACTGCTCTCTCAATAATCTCAAAATTAATTATGATAAGACAAAGATTATGCAATTTAGAAAGAGAGGGAACCCAAAAGGCTGTATAATTAATGGACATTTAATACAGGAAGTTAAGTACTTCAATTATCTGGGAATTACATTTAAAAATAATATGAATTGGAATACACATATATGTGCTGCAATAGTTAAGGCCAAAGTGACAGCCCACCATATTAAATCCTACTTTTTTTCTCCAGTAGGAAACAGATTTATTCCAGCTGTATTGCAAGTGATTGACATGAAACTTTGTGCCCAACTTCTATACGACACACCAGTGTGGATTTCAGGTGACCTCAAGAGGTTGGATAAATTTCACGCATCCCTTCTGAGGTCATTATTAGGACTTGCAAACTCTGTAAAATATGAAACAATATGTTGTGAGCTGGGAATATTGCCTTTATCAGTAAGAGCATGGTTGAGGACCTTGAAATATTGGATCTTCCTCCATTATAGAGCCCTATCCCCTAATTCTATACTTTACAATCTTTTAAGTGATAGTGCAATCTACAATCTATCATTGATTTGTAGGAGAAAACTGGATTCGATAGGGCTCACTCTAACTGACTTTGAAATCTCTGATCCCAAAGATACATGGGAAATTATCAGGAAGACTCTTACAGAAAAAGTGTTCTCGCCATGCTTGAGGTTGCAAAGCACAGCACCTGCTCTCCTATCCACTTACATCTCCCTTTGTGTAGAGATTTCCAAAAGGGATACATGACAAATCTGAAGAAACATTAATCATGTAGGCTATTTATGTTGGCCAGATTCAACATGTTTCCCTCGGTGGTAGTGAGAGGAAGATACTTAGCTATCCCAGAATCAGAGCATCTCTGCAAATGCAGAAAACAGGAACCCGATACTCTAGAGCATATATTCTTTTCCTGTGATTTTGGCAGTTATACCAGAAAACAATTATTTGAGGCCCTAAAATTTAATAGACAGATTTTTACACAACCAACTGTTCAGGACCTGCTGGCGGACAGCGATGATCAAATTACTTTAATAACGGCTGAATTTTTAAGTGCTGTCCATGAAGAAAGAATGGGCCGTGATAAAGAGACTTAGTGGTTTTTAATGGTAGGTGATGTTGCTGTGTTGTATTATATTATCTATGTACATCGATTTATATCTTGGAGTTAAGAATAGGACTGGGATAAATTGTGTTCGCTGAGCCCGTATTTTATACAGTCTGCATATGATGTTTGTTTGGTAATGTGTGGTGTGCTATGCCTAATAAAGGATTTTGAATTGAAAGCTCTCTTAGCCACCACCATCACCGCATCTTGTGGCAATGATGTCCATCAGATTCATTTAGCAAGGAAATGGCTTCTTTTGCCTGCCCCAAATCAAGGTACACTGTGCCTACACATGGAGGTTCTGTTGTTGTCACGGTTAATAAAATAGCTGATAGATTTACTCCCTGGAGAACGCATCTGATCTTTCCCCAAGCTGTCAAAGCTGGTGACCTCTTGTGTCTGCGTGTAAATAAGTGAGAGAGTCTTAAGGTTTTATCTTCCTTCTTCCCCAGTAATACAGCTGAGTTTTCAGCTCCAGCAACAGATGCCAGGATCAGGCTCTGTTATCTTTCCATACCCTCTATCATTTCTCTGATAGGGACACCCCATTCTATAATGATTATTTTACTATTTATAACTCACACATCTTATCAGGTTGCCCTAGCACTATGGGACGACAGAGGACAAGATGGTTGGACAGTGTTCTCGAAGCTACCAAGATGAGTTTGACCAAACTGCGGGAGGCAGTGAAAGACAGGAGTGCCTGGCGTGCTCTGGTCCATGGGGTCACGAAGAGTCGGGCACGACTAAACGACTAAACAAGAACAATGCTGCCTATGGTCAGCCCTGGTCATCAATGCGTCTGCAGCTCTTTGAGCCAGTTGAACTTTCTGAGCACTTTTCAAAGGCAGCCCCATGTAGAGTGTGTTACAGTGACCTTTACGCAATGTGGCAGCAGACTGCCTCTTGGTGGGGGTGGGGGGGATAATTATCTGTTCACCCGTGTGTTTGTGTGTGTGTTTGTTTCTCTCTCCCCCCCCCCCTCTCTCTCTGTAGTTTAAATTCTCTGAATGCTTGTTTTTTGAGAAGGGGCTCTTAGGGTCATAAAGCAATGCCTTTCAACACATCTCCATAACATCATTGATTGTGCCCTCACACTGCCCTATTGTGTGTGGATTTTGATCCAGACGGGGAAAGATACAGCAGAATCCACCCCCCTCTCTGTGTCGCCCTTAGGTGTGCTCAGCCTTCACCTGCTTCATGACTCCACATTTCCTTCTGGTCAGCTATTCCAGCTCTTGTCTCCTCCCCATTTCTTTATGGAGGGGCAAAGGCTATGCACTTTGTATAGATGCAACTACAACCCACAACTGACGTCTTCTGGGTGCACTGAGCTCCCCCCCCCCCCGCCTGGCCTTCTCTCCTCCAGATATAATACAGATTCCCTCCGCATCTTGCCCCACCTTCCAGAAGGAAAATATATAATAATAATACATTTTATTTATATCCCGCCGTCCCTGCGCGGCTAACACCAGTAAAATTACAATAAAAACATAATATTGAAAAAACCCCAATTCAAAATACAAGTTAAAATACAAGTTAAAATGCAGCCTCATTTTATAAGTAGCCCATAGAGCAAAACCATAAGGGGAGGGAAACGTAAGGGTCAGACTGAGTCCAAACCAAAGGCCAGGCGGAACAGCTCTGTCTTGCAGGCCCTGCGGAAAGATGCCAATAATAAATTTTTTTTATTATTTATACCCCGCCCTTCTGGCTGGGGTTCCCCAGCCACTCTGGGCGGCTTCCAACAAAATATTAAAATACCCTAATACATCAAACATTAAAAGCTTCACTAAACAGGGCTGCCTTCAGATGTCTTCTAAAAGTCTGGTAGTTGTTGCTTTCTTTGACATCTGGTGGGAGGGCGTTCCACAGGAAAGGCGCCACTACCGAGAAGGCCCTCTGTCTGGTTCCCTGTAAACTTGGCTTCTCGCAGTGAGGGAACCGCCAGAAGGCCCTAAGCACTGCACCTCAGTGTCTGGGTAGAACGATGGGGGTGGAGACGCTTCTTCAGGGCACTAGTCTCTTGTGACAGAGCGTTCCACCAAGTCAGGGCCAATACGGAAAAGGCCCTGGCCCTAGTTCAGACCAATCTAACCACCTTGTGACTTGGGACCTCCAAACTGTTGTCATTTGTGGACCTTAAGGTCCTCCGTGGGGCATACCAGGAGAGGCGGTCCCATAGTTACGTGGGACCTAGGCCGCATAGGGCTTTACAGGTCAAAACCAGCACCTTAAACCTGACCCTGTACTCCACCAAGAGCCAGTGCAGTTGGTAAAGCACTGGATGAAACCGAAAAACAGTTTCTATCCAAATGCGATTTTGGTTTTAAACGCAGTGTATGGAAGTCTCTATGTGAGTATATTATATTTAATTATGGGAATCAGTGTTTCTAGGGGGTTAAGCAGGCTGGGATAGCAGGTTTGTTGGTTTTTGAATGTCTGATGTAGATTTTTTCAATTTGGTTGTTCTGTATGGGACAATGACAATAAAGATTATCGTATCGTATCGTATTGCATTGATGAATGTGATCCCATGGCAAGGACCCCGTAAGGAGCCTTGCCGCGGCATTCTGCACCTGCTGGAGTCTCTGGGTCTGATTGTTTGTTTAGGACACCATTATATTGTATGAAAAGTGAAATCTCATTGCAGTTTGTGTCCATAGGATGTTGAGAACATTAAATCTGTAGATCCAGGAGTTCTCTCCACCTGATAGTCTTAGATTTGATTGTTCTTCCTGACAGAGCAGGAGGAACGAAACATTTATGGGCTTAAAGCTGCATTGATTCTGGAGGCCACATTCCAGTGAGCTTTGTGGCCAATGTATGCATACCATAAAGTCACATGCACACACGCCAGAGGTGCTGCACACACTCACCAGACATGCCATCTAGCATACATACAAGTCTTGCGAACACAATCAGCATGTTTAGACCTTCCAACCCCAGTGCTGGGGTGGAGGAGAAATAAGAGCACAAGAAGACCCTGCTGAATTAGCAATGAGTTCTAGGAAAAAACACCCTTCTCATTGTTCTTTAGAAATCCTCTTTAAAGAGCAGTCAGAGGGATCATTTATTTCCAGTTCAGAACTTCTATCCCATCCTTCCAATTCACGAAGGAGGGCGATAGGTTTATCGATGGTACTGGCAGAGGAAGGGGGGGGGCAGGAGTAGTGGCCTGCAAAGGGTGTCAGGGGGCTGCAGAGTGAGAGAGACACCTCCCTGCTGCACTGCTATTCCTTTCCCCCTGCCTCCCCTTCCCTGTCCCCCGTGGGGAGGACCGTGAAAGAGGACGGGGCTCCCTGCTGAGGGACAGGGAGAGGGGCGGCAAAAGCCCCAGGTACGCCGCTGATCATCGGACGACTATATGCATCGTCCATCGGGAAGCAGCAGCTGCCTTGGACCCCTCATTCTGCCCCTTGAGCCCAGGACTGAAGGGAGCAGCTCCCCAGGGTCTCCGGCAGGGTCCGTGCCAGCCTGAGCCTGAGCCAGAGCCTGAGCCAGAGCTAGCAGGGCAGCAGTTGAAGGAGCAAAAAGGGTTTTCTTGTGTGTGTGTGTTTCTTTGTGGCTGATTAGCTGTTCTCCCTGTGCAAAGGTCAGAGGGGGCAGGGTTTCTGTTGAGGCAGGTGATTAGCTGTGGGAGGAGCTTATCAGAGCTAGCAGGGCAGCGCCGCGCGCCGCTAGGTGCGCACAGTTTGATCCATCTTTTAGATTTAGGGGAGCTAGTCTCAAACGTTTGTTGGGGAAGACCTAGTGTTTTTTTTTGTGGGGGGAGTTATTTGTCCTGTCTTCACGCTTTTTATGATGGAGGACCGCTGTAGCCACCCCCAACGACACGTTCTCAAGATGGAGGGGGAGGGAACAGCTGCAGTCGCCTGCGGTTCCTGCGCAATGTTTGCCATCTTGCCAAAGGTTGCAGGCAGCTTTACCTGCAGCAATTGCATGTTGATTGCCCTCTTAAAAGACAAAGTCCAGCAACTGGAGGAACGTGTAGCTACGCTCCAAAGAATTAGATAGCTGGAGCTCTTCTTGGAAGCAACAGAGCACACCGTCTCCACCAAGGAGGAGACAGGGGACTCCCCTGAGAAGGAGGCTAGTTCACCAACACAGGAGCCAGATATATGGAGAAACGTGACTCAAAGAAGTAGGAGGCCCAGGGTTCGCTCTGATTGTTTAGAAATACACAATCGCTTTGAGGTCCTCTCCCCTAGCATGGAAAATGAAGAGCAGACTCCATTTGAGGATCTCTCCCTCATTACAGTCGATCAGGTATATGAAGACGAGCAGCAAAGTCAGTCCTCAGGGAATGTGCAGGTGACCTTGGAACGGACAGCTCACAGAAGAACCCTGACCAAACCTAAGAGGAGGCGTGTAGTGGTGATAGGGGATTCCCTACTGAGGGGAACAGAAGCAGTGATCTGTGGGCCTGACAAGATGTCTCGGGAAGTGTGCTGTCTCCCCGGGGCTAAGATCCAAGATGTAACTGAACGACTGCAAGGAATCATAAAACCCACTGATAAATACCTCTTCCTCTTGGTTCATGTGGGAACCAATGACACTGCAAGCAATAGCCTCCAGAAGATCAAAAGAGACTACGAGGCTCTCGGCAGGAAATTGAAGCAACTAAATGCACAAATTGTCATCTCATCTGTCCTCCCAGTTGAACGACGTGGCCCAGGGAGAGAGGGAAAAATAGTGGAAGTGAACAACTGGCTTCGCAAATGGTGTAAACAGGAACGGTTTGGATTTTTAGATCACGGACTGCAGTTTCTTGAAGATGGACTTCTGGCAAGTGATGGGCTGCACCTCACAACGGTTGGGAGAAATGTTTTTGCCAAAAATCTCAGAAACCTCATCAGGAGGGCTTTAAACTGACTAATGTGGGGGAGGAGACAGTGCTCCTGAAGGTAGGAGTCTATCAATTGATGAAGATGATCATCCAAATGTCATAGACCAAATTGAGCAAACAGCACGCAGACCTAGTGGTGGGAGGAAAAAATCCTTAAATAAGAGACACGGGTGAATGATTAATGGACTTCAGTGTCTGTACACTAATGCGCAAAGCATGGGAAATAAACAAGATGAGCTTGAGCTCTTGGTACAGCAAACTAAATATGACATAATAGGCATCACTGAAACCTGGTGGGATAAGTCCCACGATTGGAATGTAAAAATGGGGGGATACAATCTATTTCAGAGAAACAGACCAGACAAGAAAGGAGGAGGAGTGGCGTTATATGTGTATACCTGTGAAGAGATCCAAGATTTAGAACCTCAAAGCCAAAGTTAGAGCATTTGGGTCAAAATTAAGGGAGAGAAGAATAACAGAGACCTCATTGTGGGAGTTTACTATAGATCCCCAAGCCAAACGGAGGACATAGATGATGCCTTCCTGGAACAGATGGCCAAGCATGCAAAAGGAAGGGAGATAGTAGTAATGGGGACTTCAATTACCCGGATATTTGTTGGATGTCAAACTCAGCCAAGAGCATAAGGTCAAACAGATTCCTCACTGGCCTTGCAGACAACTTCATTGTCCAGAAAGTGGGAGAAGCAACAAGAGGAACAGCCATTTTAGATCTGGTCCTAACCAATGTTGATGACCTGGTTAGTGGGGTAGAAGTGGAAGGATCATTAGGCGCGAGTGATCATGCTCTTCTGAAGTTTACTATACAGCGGAAAGGAGCAGCCAAGCATACTAGGACTCAATTTCTTGACTTTAAGAAAGCCGACTTCATAAAACTTAGGGAAGTGCTGGGTGAGATCCCATGGACAGTAATACTAAAAGGAAAGGGAGTTCACGATGGCTGGGAGTTTGTTAAGAGGGAGATAGTAAAAGCACAACGTCAGGCCATACCAATGAGACGGAAACATGGAAGGTGCCTAAAGAAGCCAGGGTGGCTATCTAAAGAACTTTTAACTGAGTTAAGATTAAAAAAGAATGTGTACAAAAAATGGAAAAGGGGGGAGACCACCAAAGAGGAATTCAAACAAATAGCCAGCACGTGTAGACACAAAGTCAGAAAAGCTAAAGCACAGAATGAACTCAGGCTTGCTAGAGAGGTTAAAAGCAACAAAAAGGCTTTTATGGGTATGTTCGTAGCAAAAGGAAGAACAAAGAAACAGTGGGGTCACTCAGAGGAGAAGATGGTGAAATGCAAACAGGGGACACAGAAAGGGCTGAACTCCTCAATGCCTTCTTTGCCTCAGTCTTCTCCGATAAAGAAAACAATGCCCGACCTGAAGAATTTGGAGCAAATGATTCAGCAGAGGAAACAGCCCAGAATAACTAAGGAGATAGTACAAGAATATTTGGCTAGTTTAGATGTATTCAAGTCTCCAGGGCCAGATGAACTGCATCCAAGAGTATTAAAAGAACTGGCAGATGTGATCTCAGAACCACTGGCAGTCATCTTTGAGAATTCCTGGAGAACAGGCGAAGTCCCGGCAGACTGGAGGAGGGCAAATGTTGTCCCTATTTTCAAAAAGGGGGAAAGAGAGGACCCAAATAATTACCGCCCAGTCAGTCTGACATCAATACCAGGGAAGATTCTGGAGCAGATCATTAAGCAAACAGTCTGTGAGCGCCTAGAAAGGAATGCTGTGATCACCAATAGTCAGCATGGATTTCTGAAAAATAAGTCATGTCAGACTAACCTGATCTCGTTTTTTTGACAGAATTACAAGCCTGGTAGATGAAGGGAACGCAGTGGATGTAGCCTACCTTGATTTCAGCAAGGCATTTGACAAGGTGCCCCATGATATTCTTGTAAAGAAGCTGGTAAAATGCGGTCTTGACTATGCTACCACTCAGTGGATTTGTAACTGGCTGACTGACTGAACCCAAAGGGTTCCTCTTCATCCTGGAGAAGAGTGATTAGTGGGGTGCCACAGGGTTCTGTCTTGGGCCCGGTCTTATTCAACATCTTTATTAACGACTTGGATGATGGACTCAAGGGCATCCTGATCAAATTTGCAGATGACACCAAACTGGGAGGGGTGGCTAACACCCCAGAGGACAGGATCACACTTCAAAACGACCTTGACAGATTAGAGAACTGGGCATAAACAAACAAGATGAATTTTAACAGGGAGAAATGTAAAGCATTGCACTTGGGCAAAAAAAATGAGAGGCACAAATACAATATGGGGGACACCTGGCTTGAGAACAGTACATGTGAAAAGGATCTAGGAGTCTTGGTTGACCACAAACTTGACATGAGCCAACAGTGTGACGCGGCAGCTAAAAAAGCCAATGCAATTCTGGGCTGCATCAATAGGAGTATAGCATCTAGATCAAGGGAAGTAATAGTGCCATTGTATTCTGCTCTGGTCAGACCTCACCTGGAGTACTGTGTCCAGTTCTGGGCACCACAGTTCAAGGAGGACACTGACAAACTGGAACGTGTCCAGAGGAGGGCAACCAAAATGGTCAAAGGCCTGGAAATGATGCCTTATGAGGAATGGCTAAGGGAGCTGGGTATGTTTAGCCTGGAGAAGAGGAGATTAAGGGGTGATATGATAGCCATGTTCAAATATATAAAAGGATGTCACATAGAGGAGGGAGAAAGGTTGTTTTCTGCTGCTCCAGAGAAGCGGACACGGAGCAATGGATCCAAACTACAAGAAAGAAGATTCCACCTAAACATTAGGAAGAACTTCCTGACAGTAAGAGCTGTTTGACAGTGGAATTTGCTGCCAAGGAGTGTGGTGGAGTCTCCTTCTTTGGAGGTCTTTAAGCAGAGGCTTGACAACCATATGTCAGGAGTGCTCTGATGGTGTTTCCTGCTTGGCAGGGGGTTGGACTCGATGGCCCTTGTGGTCTCTTCCAACTCTATGATTCTATGATGTTTGCCCCTGTGCCCTCCTGCAGATGCCCTGCCCCTGAGCTGCGCCCCTTCCCCTTCCTGCCCGGTTGGGGGGCGCCCTGCAGCCTCTGGCTCTACTCGGGGCCTGATCCTGCCAGGCGCACCTGCTCTCCCCCTCCTCCTCCCCCCCGCCTCCTGCACCTCGGACTCCTCGCTCCGTCCCTGCAGCGGAATCCGGCTCCTCTCCGGGGAAACTCGCCAGGCCACGGGCCGCTGCTCCTCCGCTCTCCTCGGCGGGGGACAGGAAAGTGCAGCCGCTCTCGAGTCCCCCTGGCTGGCCCCGTTTCCTGCCTCTCTGAGCATCGGAGCTCGCTGACTGTGGGTTGGGCCATGGGAGGCTGCGAGGCTGGATGCGCCCCCTTGCGCTGTCCCTCAAAATTTATTGTATCATTGGAATCTACCTGGCATCTTATATGCCATCCAGAATGTTGCACAAATCCTTGTGATCCGATGTGCAGTCACTGGTTTCCTCATCAGTAAATATTTTCAGAAAGCTGGGACGATGCCACCCTGCAGCCATAGCTGTCAACTTTCAGATTTGAAAATAAGGGGGCCGCAGCCTCTCCTGTCCCGGGGACAGTCTACAGGATACCTAACAATCCGGGATAGCAGCGGGAAATGGCACTGGAATAAGGGAATTTACGGCAAAAAAAGGGAAGGTTGACAGCTATGCCTGCAGCCCGAATGGGTAGCTGGAGGAGGCAGTCCAGTTCCCAGCTCTGCTGGTTGGGATCATGCAATCACTTAGCTCCAGCAACCGACCTTTCCAAACCCTCCAACATTTCTCTGATGAAAATAGGAACATCCTATTCCATAAATATAATTTTATTATTTATACACCGCACATCTTATTACGCTGCCCCAGCCACTCTGGGAAGTTTCCAACATATATAAAAAACATTAGAAAACATTAAACATTAAAACTTTCCTATACAGGATTGCCTTCTCAGAGGGCCTGGGGGTCGCATAATTCCATTCCCTCCAGCATTTCTTCAATGAAAATAGGGAGACCCTAAGAAAAACAGGACATTCTGGGGTCAAATCAGAAACCAGGACGGCTTCTCTAAATCAGGGACATCCCTGGAAAATAGTGGCACTTGGAGGGTTTCTCTTTCCCTGCTTTTTCATTCACTGCCTCTGGTCTCCTGCATCCATTTAGCAGAGGAGGGGAGCGGTTTTGGCTTTCATACTTCTCCACCCCCCACCCCATCCCCAATATAACCAAAAACACACACACCATTTGGGAGTGAGGACCAAAAAAATATTAAAATCGTTTTATTATTTTATTACTTATTTTTGCAGTTCAATCTACTGTATCTATAAATTTTATTGTTTATAGCCAATGGCCACCACAATACAATATGAGCACAAATCACACAGCTGCAAAACAAAAGACATTGCATGCACCAGACCAGGATAAATCTATAGCGTCCAAAATTTATTTTCACGGTTGTTTCAATGGGAAGGATATAGGGCAGCAGAGTCCAGGTGGTGAGGTCCAGATTAGAGTTTCTATCATCCTTGACTGTCTGCCCTGCTGGCTGAAGCAGATGGGAACTGGACAACAACATCTGGGGACACCTCAATGACTATTCTGTGATATACAGAATCTACAAAGGATTAAGGCACTGATCCAGAAGAGAATGAAATGAGAAGAGGCCCCACTGAATTATCTGAAGTAAAACAGAGGAAGATCATTACATTATCATCATCATAATTTATTATTTATACCCCACCCATCTGGCTGAGTTTCCACAGCCACTCTGGGCAGCTTCCAATCAAGTGTTAAAAACAGTACAGCATTAAATATCAAAAACTTCCCTAAACAGGGCTGCCTTCAGATGTCTTTTAAAGATAGGATAGCTGCTTATTTCCTTCACATCTGAAGGGAGGGTGTTGGCTTCCTAACTATAAGCTCCTCTGTTTGGATATCATAAAAATTTACAGACAGACAGACTTTAATGTTGTATACAGTGTAAGGTTGGGGAATTGAGAGGTGCAGAAAGCGAGCGGGGGAGGGGTAGTACACTTTCATTATTTTACAAAGTCCATATGCAAGGTGTTTGTGTCAGTGTGACATGGGGAGGTTCTCTTCCTTTTCATTTATTAGTTTTCATTGGCAGTGAGAAAGATCGGGGGGGCAGGGCATAGTTGGTTGCCTTCAGTTGACTGCAGTAAAGGTGGTGGAGGCTGAACCATTTTGAGGAAGAGATTGTTGTACAGTGGTGCCTCGCAAGACGAAATTAATTCGTTCCGCAAGTTTTTTCTTCTTGCGAGTTTTTCGTTCTTGCGAAGCACGGTTTCCCATAGGAATGCATTGAAAATCAATTAATGCGTTCCTAGGGAAACCGCCTTCAGGCCAGGTCCGGGGACAATCTGTCCCCCGACCTCTTCTGAAGGCTGGGGGGGGGGAAAGGGCTTTTCTTCCCACCCCCAGCCTTCAGAAGGCTGTTCTGAAGGCTGGTGGTGGGAAGAAAAGCCCTTCTTCCCACCTCCCGCCCCGCAAGCTCCGGGGACAGGAGGGCTTTGCTGCCGAAAGCCAGCATTTTAAAAGCCCCTGCTGTCCCGGGGCGATTTTAAAATGCTGGCGGGCAGGAGCGAAGTCTCTGCTGTCCCGGGGAGATTTTAAAATGCTGGCGGGCTCCTGCCATAGGCGTGCGTCACCTCTCCAGCCGGGAGAGGGTCGCAGGGGGCTGCTTTAGCCCCGCGCGCGCTCTCCCAGCTGGAGAGGTGACGTGCGCCTATGGAGGCTCCTGCCATAGGCGCGCGTCACCTCTCCAGCCGGGAGAGGGTCGCAGGGGGCTGCTTCTCTGCTGTCCCGGGAGATTTTAAAATGCTGGGGGTCGGCAGCGAAGCGTTCGCTCCCGACCGCCAGCATTTTAAGATCGCCCGGGGCAGCGGAGACTTCACAGGTGTCCCGGGGAGATTTTAAAATTCTGGGGGTCGGCAGCGAACGCTTCGCTCCCGCCCGCCAGCATTTTAAGATAGCCCGGGGCAGCAGAGAAGTCTCCGCGGGCCCGGGAAGGCAGGCGGGGGGGAGCAAAGACTTTTGCCCCCGCCGGCCTTCAGAAGAGGTCCTGGACCTCTTCTGAAGGCCGGCTGTGGGCGAAAGTCTTTGCTCCCGACCGCCAGCAATTTAAAGCAGGTCCCCGGAGATTTCCCTATGGGCTTTCGTCTTGCGAAGCAAGCCCATAGGGAAATTTGTCTTGCGAAGCGCCTCCAAAACAGAAAACCCTTTCGTCTTGCGGGTTTTCCGTCTTGCGAGGCATTCGTCTTGCGGGGTACCACTGTAATTCTTGGTTTGGTCCTTCAAGTAAAGGTAAAGGTGAAGGGACCCCTTACCATTAGACCCAGTTGTAGACAACTCTGGGGTTGCGGCGCTCATCTCGCTTTACTGGCCAAGGGAGCCGGCGTACAGCTTCCGGGTCATGTGGCCAGCATGACTAAGCTACTTCTGGTGAAGCAGAGTAGCACACAGAAACGCCGTTTACCTTCCCGCCGGAGCGGTACCTATTTATCTACTTGCAGTTTGACGTGCTGTTGAACTGCTAGGTTGGCAGGAGCAGGGACCGAGCAACGGGACCGTCGTGGGGATTCAAACCACGACCTTCTGATCGGCAAGCCCTAGGCTCTGTGGTTTAACAACCAGCACCACCCGTGTCCCTTCAAGTACTTGTTGAAGTACCCTTCAAGTTATTGCTGTTAAAGTTGTTCCATGGAATTCCTGATCTGGACCTTGTGTGGAAATGAATTCTCTCCATCACAAAAATAAGTTTTGAAGCTTTACTGCAGAACAGTCTTAAACAGTCTAACAATAAGATAAGCATGATAAAGTAGCACGTTGCAAACAATGTTCAGTCCTTTATGTAATTCAGTCAGCTTTCCTCTCTCTGGTCACAAAGGGAGATCCTAAGCTTCTTCAACATTGCATGACTTATTTGCAACTGCTGCTGCTGCTTCTCCTAGCCATCTCCAGCAAGAACACACTGACTTCGCAAGTTTAAGCTTCCTTCCGTGAGAGCTCTGCAGCTTATGCCTCCAGTGACTAGTTATGAGGAAAGATCCAGCCTCCTCTGATGCTTCTGTCAGAGTGGAACCTCTTGCCTAAGTCGAAGAGAAACTTCCCTTTATAGTATTCTTATTACAATGCATTCAAGCACAGCATTATATGTACATTAAACTTATAGCACTTGTTCCTTTCCAAGTAACAATGACACTTACAAACAGGTTGTCACTTTCTTTTATTATGTCTGCTTTGTATGCCAGAATGTTATCTCTCTTTTCCCTGAAATGCTCCAGGCGACCACAGATGAGTGTCTAAAGAGAAACCAAAAGCTCAGAGTTGGGGGGGGGGTGAAGCCTTGAATATCAGGTTGCCTCCTAGTCCCTGCTATTAGATTTGTATTTGAAAAGTGTTGTAGGAGCTTTAAGGTTTTTTAGCTGTATATTTAAAAAACAAGGCTCTTGTGAGATGTTTCATTATTTTGTTATTCTGACATTGCATTGCACAGAAGCACCTTTGCACAGCTGTTTGGTTTTTTTTTATGAAAAAAGAATAAGAATGCATTCCAAAGGGTTTCTTTAGAAGCAGAACAAGTATTTTGTTTTATTTTTTATAACAGAGGAAATGATGCCCAATTCTTAGTGCTCATCCTGGCTTTAAGATTAGCAGCCACACCCTCACAAAAAGCTATGAAAGGATTTTGTTAGCAAGATTCAATGTGAATTCCTGCCTTATTTTCCAGGGCTGCTTCTTCCCTGAAAACCAAAATTTTAAAGGATGATGCTGTAAGGTGCTACACTCAATATGCCAGCATCTTTGGAAAACTCAGCAGTGGCCAGAGGATTGGAGAAGGTCAGTCTACATCCCAATCCCAAAGAAGGGCAGTGCCAAAGAATGCTCCAACTACCGCACAATTGCGCTCATTTCACACGCTTGCAAGGTTATGCTTAAAATTCTACAAGGCAGGCTTAAGCAGTATGTGGATTGAGAACTCCCAGAAGTGCAAGCTGGATTTCGAAGGGGCAGAGGAACCAGAGACCAAATTGCAAACATGCTGGATTATGGAGAAAGCTAGGGAGTTCCATAAAAACATCTACTTCTGCTTCATTGACTATGCAAAAGCCTTTGACTGTGTCAACCACAGCAAACTATGGCAAGTTTTTAAAGAAATGGGAGTGCCTGATCATGTGAGGAGAATCAGAACTTACAGGGTTAAACAGTTCTGTGTGACGTCTCACATTCTGAGGCGTGGTTATGTTCACATACGGGAATCTTTCTTTGTGTGTGATTTACTTTCGTTTTTGGCTGAGAGGCGAGAAGGATGCCTGCTCTCTCGCCGGGACTGATTTATGATGTTTTTCTACTCATTAAAGACTGTTAGAGATTAGCAAGAAGCCTGCGCACAGCCTGATTTATTATCCAAGGCAACACTTTCTGCCGCTGCGGATCTCTGCTAAGAGCTGTGAAGAGAGCTCAAGCTTTTTCTATCGGCACAGGCGTCCATCGGCCCAGGGGAAGTGTTGCCGGGCGTCATCATATCTCAGCAGATCACCTCATCTGTCTTCTGTGTGTTACGGAAAAATCTAGGTGTGAGGCTGCTCAGTCACCCAGCCCGTCGGGCAGAGACTGTGGGTCCCTTGTGGAATAAAGGAAGGAGTCCAGCCATCAACTGGAGCAAATAGCTGTAGACCAAAGTTTATTTCGCAACAGGTTGAAAGAGGAATTTTGAACCCCGAGCATGGGGTGACAAAGACTTTTAAAACTTCCCCACCATATCCCAGAATACAGTTTGTAGAGCATCACTGCTATATTATTGTTACATCACTGACATGTCACAAAAGGGATGGGGTAGACAGGGGTTACACTAGTTTAACCTTGGCAAACATGTCCAGACAAGCCCTTGGTACAAGATTAGCATAAGTAGACATGTCAGGGCAAGACTCAGGTATACGATTAGCATAGGCAAACACCTCTGAAGTCCCATCACCCAAAGTACAATAGAACTTCCTTTGCATGTCTGGCCCCTTGGCAAGTTTGGTGATGGGATTATGCTTTCCTTGGCCCAGCTCAGCAATTCTCACCCCTGGACACTTCCTGGAGTCCTTTTTCAAGGGGAAAATATCTTTGGAATGGAGGAAACTCTCAAAGAAGTTGATTTTATATTATTTTTAAAGCTAGGTAACTTCCCTGAGCTGTCACGTTGAAAGGATACATTCAGGCATAATTTTTGTAACATTTAACAGTCTAGCAATATGTTGTTTCCGTAACATGAGAAATCTCCGTAACATGAGAAATCTCCCATAATTTCCATAACATAAGAAATCTCTATGTGGGACAAGAAGCTACAGTTAGAACTGGATATGGAACAACTGATTGGTTCAAAATTGGGAAAGAGTATGACAAGGCTGTATACTGTCTCCCCGCTTATTTAACTTATATTCGGAATTCAACATGAGAAAGGCTGGAGTGGATGAATCCTAAACTGGAATTAAGATTGCCGGAAGAAATATCAACAACCTCAGATATGAGGATGACACAACCTTGATGGCAGAAAGTGAGGAGGAATTAAAGAACCTTTTAATGAGGGTGAAAGAGGAGAGCGCAAAATATGGTCTAAAGCTCAACATCAAAAAAACGAAGATCATGGCCACTGGTCCCATCACCTCCTGGCAAATAGAAGGGGAAGAAATGGAGGCAGTGAGAGATTTTACTTTCTGGGGCTCCATGATCACTGCAGATGGTGACAGCAGTCACAAAATTAAAAGACTCCTGTTTCTTGGGAGAAAAGCAAGGACAAACCTAGACAGTGATACGGAAGGGGGGGGCATGTCTTCTTCACCTTCTTCTTCGCTACAATATATCCATTTATTTCCAATTGTCAATGTCAAAAGGGACTAAAATCTATAAAATTCATAGAAAATCAACGTGCCAATTTGCTCAATTTCTCTAGGACCCCATGACACCTCCCCTGTCCTCCATAATCCCTCAAGCAAGGTGTCAAGACCCTAATCTGGTCAAATCGCTCTGCCAAGCCCTTCCTCCGGGCAATGCCAGGTGACAAACTATGCATACATGGACCATTGTCTTCTCAGGATGTGCTTATCTGCGCATATCTCCAGCTCTCTGCATATTCCCCCCTCCCTCCTCCATATCTCCAGCTCTCTGCATATTCCCCCCTCCCTCCTCCATATGTTAATCCGGTGTAACCCAACCTCTTCCTAATGTATTCATGATGTAATCTGTGTAACCCAACCTCTTCTTAATGTATTCATGATGTAACTGGGATGTATTTTGCACTGTATTCTGGGATATGGAGGAAATTTCAAAAGTTCATGTCACCCCTTTCTCGCTGTTCAATCTCGCCTTGAACCTGTTGCGCAATAAACTTGGATCTTCTGCAGTTTGCTCCTGCTTCTGGCTGAGCTCATTTTCTTCCGCATGGACCCGCGGACCTAGTCCGACGAGCTGGGTGGCAGAGTAGCCCTGCACCCAGATTTTAGCCGTAACAGTTGGCGCCCAACGTGGGGCTTGCGGTGCTCCCGAGCTGCTGACTGGGGGCCCCGAAATCTTCAGCCGGCTCCGGGCCATTTTGCCTGGGAAGATCCTTTTGGACCCCCAGCCATCTTCCGGGCGGTAATCGAAAGCCCTAGGAGTTCAGCCAGGGAGCAAAAGAGGGATCCAGCCGGCTTATTCATCGATCCCGGGATCAACGTTGAAGACGCGTGAGTATAGGAAAAGAAATCCAGTGCACTGGTGGGAAGGGGGTGGAATCTCCTGGCAACTGAATTCTCTGCCCTCCTCTATCGCTCCTTCTTGCCTTTCTCTTGGTCTGGTTAATGAGAGAGACCGTGGACCACCGCTCAACCCGAAAGGGGGGTTCTGAGCTCTATCTCTTTTTCTAAACTCTCTAGCCAGCCGCACCAATTGGGAGTCCGAAAGTAAGACGGAGAGACCCGGCTTGGAAAGACAGCCGACTCTCCGCAACGGGCATCTCAGTTGAAAGCAAGGGGCTGGAGTTCTTCTTCCGAACTTCCCGAGCACCCTTACGGAGGGGGCAGGAATGGGTCTGGCTTTCTATCCCAATCCCAGCCGCACTGGTCGGTGCCACGTAACACGTGTATCGTGCGTGAGCCCGCTTCCAAAAGCAAGGGGGATTTTCAGTTCGAAATTCTATCCAGGGATCACCCGATCTGGCACCGCACAGCACGGGCGTCCAGTAGGGCCCCTTTTCCTGAGATTGTGACGATAGGTAGGAGGTTGCCAGGAGGGATAGCCCATGAGGAATTGGGCGGGATTGGCAGAGTGGAAAAGGACCCCAGGTTATTAAATAGGAAATAGGAAAGGAATAGAAAAAGGAACCGAGTGGGTGAAGCTCGTTAAATTGTTAGGAAGTTGCCAAGCAACAAGGAAAAGGAAAAACCCTAAATAGCCCCCTGTACAAGTTACCCAAATTCAAATCAACCCCTCTCTTTCTCCCTTCTCTATCCCCAAAAAAGAAAAACAACAACAACAACAAAGCAACAACAACAACAACGCATGCATATATAAAGGGGTACCCAGTCAACTAAGCATTGTGAGCCCTGCCAGTTTGATTAACTGGTGGTGTGTCTGAAGAGGCAAGGAGGCTCATAAAACCATGTGGGACCTTCCTACTAATTTCACTTAATGAAGCCAAAGGAAGCAGTCCAACTCCTTGCAATAACCAACTAAAAGATGAGAATATATATGTTTACATGTTGTCTGTTATGTGTTTGTCTGTTAATACATATGAGAATATGTATGTTTACATATCATCTGTTATGTGTGTTGTCTGTTCCTTCTGTCTCTGACAGACTGCCTGTCTTAAGTGCGCATAGTTTAAACTGCAAGCTTGTTCCAAATTTTAAATCTAAGAAAGCCATGCTGGGCCTTATCAGTCTTAAACAAGACAAAAATGAGAACGAAGTGTGCAAATGTTTGTTATTTGAGAAAGGCTCAAAAGAGTCTTCCTCCTTGTATGTACTTCATTAAGCATATGCCTATGAAAGTATGACCTTCCTTCTAAGAAAATATCTGAGTCCAGTTTTAACTCTGATTTGGTTGGACAGAAGAGTTATTGTAAGGCTCTTGATATCAGTCTCTATAAGACTTCCTGGCATCTTTTCTTAGAAAATGCCCCCCCCCCTGTTTCATTCTGTCTCTTTCAGGTGTTTTTTTTTGTTTTTTCCCCCTTCTCCTTCTTATTCCGTGCCAGGTAAATTTACTCCCGAGTAAGCTTCCTTTAAACATAATTGCAAAGGGGGGGGGCATAGATTAGGCTTACTATTCCTCTGCAAGTTCAGGAAAAATTGTCACTTTTGTATTCCTTCTAAATCAAATCTATGGCTGTTTTAACTATGCTTTATAAGAGATCCTCTCCCTATCTTAAGAAAATGTTCACTTCAATCTCCCTTTAAAGACTTGCACTCTTTAGTCTAAAGAAGTAAACTCTCACTCAAACTAGCTTCAAGATCTGCTAAAAGGGTTCTGTGTAAAGTTGGGTACTTTTATTTCCCTCTTCCTTAGTACATGATAGGTGCATGGTTTGTGATAGGCACATGGCTTGTGGTCTCTTCCCCAGTTGTGTCTGTGTACATTAGTATGTGTGTGTCTCTGGTAGTACAAATCTTGCTATGAACCCTGTATTTTAGGGCTGGACTAGATGACCCCAGGGTCCCTTTCAACTTTCCCAATTTGTGGCTGATGAGTTGAAATTCAGCCCAGATTTGCTCTTTGTTTTTAAAAGGTGAGAGGTGAAAGCCGTGATGTTTGAAGCTGAACTGGTGAAATCAGGCATTTAAGTGATTACAGTGTTTATAATTTTGTCTATGATTTACAAAAATCAGACTTAAAAGTCTACTCAAAGTTTAAGCACATACAAATTCATATAATCAAGTAGAATGAGCCTTGACATATAATTGAGTAGCCTTGACCAATCCTGTAAATAAAGGGCAGGAAAATTTGTCTGCAAATGGTAAGGCTGAAATGACTGAGAATGTTAAAAGATCCTATGAATTCTGACTCTGGCCATTTTTACTCATAAATAAGAGAGCGGTTCATTGTTCCGTGAATGACCAGACAAGATGACCAATAAATGACCAATAATGATAGCCCTTTCCTGTACATAAAGGAAGCACTCCCTTTTGCTTGGGCTGCAATTGCTAGCTTGGTGAATACTTGAATTGCTGAGTTTCTTTTTTTGTTTTAAAATCTAACCCTATTTTTTAAATCTACTCCTTACCCTTCCCTTCCCTTATTCAAATGGTAATTTAGCCAAAAGATTCAAGATTTTCAATAGTATAAAAGGTTTGCTGAGACATGGACTCTGCACATGCACAGAGGCTAGATCAGTTTGAAAGAGAGAGAGGGAGAAAGGAGGAGGGAAGGAGGGGGGGGAGAGGAGGTTTGGAGAGCGAGTGCTGCGGGGAGAGGCCTATCCAAATTTCCTTATGTGAAGGCTTGGAGCCATTGAGGGAAATCACCCTT